AGTATATCTAGCTGGAGTATATAGTAAATATGTGATAACTTATGAAACAGCATTGTGTTTTGCTCAGGGACAACCTTCATTGAAATACCTGTATATATATGTAATCTTCACATGCAGTACTGCATCTAAAATAATTGATATGTCTGCATGCTTCGTTCTTTAAAAGCATTGCGTAAATTGAATAACTGGAAATATTATATATAAATAAACTTTCACATTTTAAAAACATTGCGTGAACTGAACTGAACTGAACTGAACTGAACTGAACTGAACTGAACTGAACTGAACTGAACTGAACTATACTAACATACTATAATCTTCACAGTAGTGGTCTATAACTATAATAATTCATATATCATGATGCTTCGTTTTTTAAAACTGCATTGTGTAAATTGAATAACTAGAAATATATATTATATATAACTTTCATGCATTTGATTGCGTTAACTTAACTGAACGGAACTACAGAGCCGCATCTATAATCATTCATGTATCATGCTTCATTTTTTAAAAGCAAAAACATTGCCATTGACATGCATTGCGCGAACTGAATATTGAAGTCTTGCAACTTCTACTGAATATAGAAACTTAAGATAGAAGAAATAGTCACAAAGTGTCAAAGGAGACTATATTATATAAAATATAATAATTTAATATTAATTTAAACTGTTTGCAAACTTTAACTAAAAGACCTTCAAAGGTATAGTTCACAAAGATTATATGGTTCAAATTAGTTTAATGCATGCATGCATCAGTTTGAACTAGATCCTTTTACTCTTTTACTGAGATCGATCCATATCAAAAACGTTTTGAAATGTAGATCAAAATAAAACCATCTTCTCTCATGTTTAGTAATGTTCGCTATAATCCAATTTACTTGTTCCCATCGTTTGACTGGGTAAAACATATCGCCATCAACACTTCTGAACAAAGCTCGTCTTCTCTCTGATATTTGTCTTTTTTATGAAGTTATGACGAAGTTTGTTGCTTCACACATATTGCTGATGTAAAACTAGTACTTGCGAGAATCAGTTAAATTACATAAATACGTGCATGCTATTTGATTACTTTTTAACTTGCTTCAAGTTTCATATTCTGTTTTTTATACAGACTCGTATGCCGAACAGTAACACTTCCGCCCATTGTTTTCTTTGCAAAGCAGAGTATTACGCGTTTTAAGATATCAGGATATATTTTGCATAATAAAACCTGGCTCAAAATTTTTAATTAATGTAATAATGGGGAAAATTTTGACAAAATGTTTTATATAAAATTGCGTTTATTGACATTTATTTGTAACATTGTTTACAGTTTCCAAGCATGCAGACGAGTTTATAAAGTCCGCTAAGCCGCGGTATTGCACAATATATACACACTCCACCACTTGGTCTATATGGCTAACGTAGAATATGCAATACTGACCACATACATCTGACTCTTTACGTCATTAATATATTGCGTTGTTCTTAAGAACGGAGCGACAACATATTATATTGATATATTGCGTTGTTCTTAAGAACGGAGCGACAACATATTATATTGATATATAGCGTTGTTCTTAAGAACGGAGCGACAACATATATTATATTGATATATTGCGTGGTTTCTAAAGAACGAAGCAACAATATATTATATTGATATAGGATTGCGTGGTTTCTAAAGAACGGGGCAACAATATATTATATTGATATATTGCGTGGTTTCTAAAGAACGGAGCAACAATATCATATATTATATTGATATATTGCGTGGTTTCTAAAGAACGAAGCAACAATATATTATATTGATATAGGATTGCGTGGTTTCTAAAGAACGGGGCAACAATATATTATATTGATATATTGCGTGGTTTCTATAAAGAACGGAGCAACAATATATTATATTGATATATTGCGTGTTTCCTTAAGAACGGAGCAACAATATAATTATTATATTGATATATTGCGTGATATATAATTATATTGATATATTGCGTGGTTCCTTAAGAACGGAGCAACAATATATTATATTGATATATTGCGTGGTTCCTTAAGAACGGAGCAACAATATATTATATTGATATATTGCGTGGTTAAGAACGGAGCAACAATATATTATATTGATATATTGCGTGGTTCCTTAAGAACGGAGCAACAATATATTATATTGATATATTGCGTGGTTCCTTAAGAACGGAGCAACAATATATTATATTGACAGTATTGCGTGGTTCTTTAAGAACGGAGCAACAATATATTATATTCATATATTGCATATTATATTGATAAATTGCGTGGTTTCTAAAGAACGGAGCAACAATATATTATATTGATATATTGCGTGGTTTCCTATTTTAGGTCGACCTGTAAATCATTCATTTTCACGAACCTATTGATATATTGCGTGGTTCCTTAAGAACGGAGCAACAATATATTATATTGATATATTGCGTGGTTCCTTAAGAACGCAGCAACAATATATTATATTGACAGTATTGCGTGGTTCTTTAAGAACGGAGCAACAATATATTATATTCATATATTGCATATTATATTGATAAATTGCGTGGTTCTAAAGAACGGAGCAACAATATATGATATATTGCATATTAGGCCTATATTGATAGGCTAAATTGCGTGGTTTCTAAAGAACGGAGCAACAATATATTATATTGATATATTGCGTGGTTTCCTATTTTAGGTCGACCTGTAAATCATTCATTTTCACGAACCATATACGCTTCGTACGGTCTGTAAAGCCATTTCACGGACCGTACGGATTTGTCGGATCGTGAATCGTCTTACGAGCCGTACGAACGGTACGATCCGTCGAACTGTTGGTAGATCTGGGCAACAAGCATCCGCTATTGGAGACTACCTATTGCGTTTACGAGTTGATACGGATCGTGACTCGTGTTTACGGTCCGTACGAATTTGACGGATCGTGAAGCTGCTTCACGATCCGTATCATGTCGACAGTATTGGACATGTATGAGAACTTCGACGTTTCGAACGAGGGCCCTTCGTCGGTTCTACTTATATTTTCAGGTAGTTGTATATTATAGCCTTTATACGCCGCAATTGGCCATTTGCGTAATAGACTGAATTTTGATCTAAACAAGTCGGGAAATTGACAGCCCCAAAGGGTATTGACTATTGGGCTGTCAATTTCCTGTTTGTAATCTAAAATGACTGAAAATTGCAAACTTCGCAAGGCTATATTATCCGCATTTTACAACATTTCGCAACGAAACTTTGGAATATTACTAATTATGTGATGCTCTTTCAAGCTGTGATGAAATTTTTGTCTAGATCAAAATTTAGTCTATTACGCAAGTGGTCAATTGTCCATAAATAATAATAACATCCTACTTGTTGGATAACCAGTTTTGACATGTTCTTGAGCAGTTTTCGCATTTTTCGTCGCATCCATGGCAGCCAGAACTATGTCAGACTAAGAAAATATAGTCCGTAAATTATATATATATATAGAAACATAAGTATTATTTATAACAGAAATCTATCAGTCAAAGGTTCATGAAGCGGTACAAAGGCTGCTCAGATCTCAGATTATATATTTAAAAACGATCATTTCTCGAACATACCCCTTCTGCACTTAGTTGTTCGGCAGCTGCGATGAAGTCAGGTTTCATGGTTTTGCAATAACCACATCCTGCAAAAATATAGGAAATTATTCATATGACCAGGCATCAATATCCATTCATAAGATACATTTAGACGGTTTACGGCTAAAGCACCTGGCGCCAGTTGGACACAACTACAGTACGTTAGTTGTTCCGTTGGATACGTTTGAGCATGGAGAACTTGAACATTCAAAAAGGTACTATTGTAGAGTAGTAGAAACATCTTATAAATGACTCATAATTTTTCAAACCTATATGTCCGAGATGCAATAGAGCAAAGACCAAGCATGATCGATTTTAACCAAACTATTGTCTACAGAGTTTATAGTGCTTATGGTTAATTTTTGCTACTTTGTGTAATGGTTTTCTTGGCTTGCAGTAACTGGTTGCAGACTTGTTCCTAGTCTGTGTCGTCCTATAATATTGCGACTTACTATATCACGTGCATGTTAGATGCAATACAGTAGAACGACACAGAGACTTGCAGCAGGTCCAGCCGTCCAGGCTATTGCAGATATACCAAGGCATTGTTTTAGTGCATGAGAATAACAGTACAATGAAAGATAGTGATGCTGAAAACTCATAAGAAGTTAGTATAAATGTTGCTTCATTACCAATGATTGAATGATAGAAGAAACTTTCGAGAAATAAAGAGTTACTTACTCGGTGAATAAAACATAACAAGCACAGACTTGTGACTTTTTAAGACTTCTTCAAGGTTATCATCGGTGAGATGTTTCACTTTACCAGGAACAGCGCTCCACTCTGGCTCTGGAGGCTGGGGACTAATATAAAATAAGATTGAAGAAATGCCAATATTGAAATTTACTAAAGCTATTAAAGGTCTTCGCTCGAAACCTTGACGTTCTGCTTATATTTGTCAGGTAGTTGTATATCCTTCACACCACAGCTGTCCAATATTATACAGTATAATATAAACATGAATATAAGCTAATAATTAGATTGAGCATTCAAATGACGTGTTGAATCGTGATAATATTGGGATTCCATCATCTAATGAGCAGCTTGAATGCCTAGTAATATGTAACATATAGCATATATTGTACAATTTAAATATTTGCTTCCCATTGTTCCATTTTATTGTACGAAACTAATGGAGAACTAGGAATGTGAGTGGCATCTTCAACTTACTTCTTCATGAATGCAGTAAAACTCTGCGCCGTTCTTGCTTGATAATATTTAAATGAATCTTCACCATCCCTGCAAACACACAAAGTTCAAAATTGACTGATGGAAAAATATGGAGGACAGTAAGATGAATATATAAAAAGATGATAAAACCCATGGAATTCTTTTGGAGTAAATATATTTAGGCAGAACTTACTTGAAATATTTTACTGTAAAAAAAAGAGAACAAATGGAAATTAGCTAAAGTGAATTGCCTTGAATTTGAAGGAGCGCTGCGGTGTGAAAAATAAACAATTTTTCCAGTAGTTGTACATCCTTCATACTGCAGCTGCCTGCTACCGTCTCTACCTAAAATGCCACTGATCATCAAGGCCCGTTTAAGCAGATCCATGCAACCGTGTTGGCTCAATATCATGCAAATGTGTTGAAATATTTTTATAAGATTTATCCCAACTGAAAATGAACTGCAAACAACACGGTATGGAACATTGTAGACTTTCGCAAAGTCCTTTTCAAAGACGTCATTTTTGTTCCGCGCGGTTCCTCTTTACTCGCCAAATAAACCTAGGGAAAAATTGTGAGGCGGACTTGTGGCAACTCTAAGAACATTGTATGACATATGGGCATTTGAACAAACCATTAAGATATGTGAGTAACAATTGGATATAAAGGGGTAATCTGGCAAAAATTTAAACTAATCAAAAAGGTCGCATAATTCTACACTGCATGTATGCATGCATGCATGCATGCATGCATGCACGCACCTGTTTACCATGCAAGAGTGACCACAAACAATATGTTGCTTATCCCATTGGGCTTTGTGTATTGTGATCTTATTTTAACAAGTTGAATATTTGCAGCGAAGACCTTTAGTCAAATCCATTATCAAAAGCCTTTACTCAAAACGTCGAGCTTTTCTTCGTATATTTTTTAGCTTGCAAAGAAAGCATTCATCCCTCCAAAAGTTTCCTGGATCCAATCCGCGGCGATGTTGAACAGTATAGTTTAACGGAAACTTACTAGTTGGGTATCCTTTGACATCGTATTTCTTACACAGTTCTTGGTCTTTTGTGCAGTCAACAGCTGCCATTTTACCTTGTCCCTTTAAAAAAGTAAGAAAAACCCAGATTCACTAATAATGAACAAACGATAGATAATATACTGTATAATCAGCCGAAAAGGCAATTGCAATAAAATAGAATGCTCCTTCATAACATAGCGTACAGGTACTTTCTCTAACATAAATGTACGGCCAATGGAAAACATGGCTTGTGAACTTAGCCATCAGACGTTCTTACTTTGTGAGTATTGATTGTCTCTGCTGCTGTCTCAAACTCCGGTTTTGTTTTCTTACAATGACCACACCCTAAAACAAGCATATGTTGCTTTAATAACACACAGCCTTTCAGAGTCAGATTCGAGAGCTTCAAGCAACAAGATGAGCTTCATCTTACATGGTGCATAGAACATGACAAGAACAGAATTATGACTTTGAACATATTGATCAAAATCATCGCCAGTTAAATGAGCAACATAAGTATCTTCATCACTCCATGGTATATCATTCTTCACAATAGTGTTGGGATTCTTGTGTGCTTCAGATGGACTGGAAAAGTATTTATTTTATATATTAAATATTGTATAAGATACATATGAATATTTATCGAGGAAGCAGTTTTTTAGATAAGTTTCTTAATGAGAGCTTGATAAAAAAATTTATGAAAATATAATTTACAGTAATTCATAATTTTGTCCTTTTCTTCTGACTTCAATATATTCTCAGCATTGAACTTCCTGGGATAAGTCTTTTCTTCAACACACAGACAAATTTGGTGAATGTTTGTTTACACAACAATTCACAACTTTAGATAACTCACTAATTATCATTATTATTTCTTCAATATAATTCAAGAGTTTTGATTGGCTAAGAGCTGTCCTGTCGGTGAAATCGTCATATCCGCTCGGTAGCTGCCCAAATTTGGAGTTATGACATCACCGTGGAATATTGAAAACAAATATACCACGTCTGACGCGATGTCGTGGTATATTAAAAAACAAAGGTAACGCGCTATGACGTCACACCAATTTATGCGGCGTATGCCAAAATCGGGAAAATACAAGGAAAGGTTCGCCGACTTTTGTGTGTACTGTAAGACTTATTCACTCATGTAGATAATTCTAAAGCTTAGTTACATTTGTTCATTTCTATGCTTCTGTATGCTAGAATAAACAATTATCGAATTCGGTTCTCGTAGGATATAGGAATTATTAAGGCCTCGGTTTGAGTTATCTGCCTCAGCTTACGGCTTCGGAAGATAACATAAACCTTGGCCTTAATAATTCCTCATATGCTACTCGACCTCATTCAATAATTGTTTATTGTTCTAGCATACAGAAGCATAGAATTGAACAAATGTAACTAAGCTTTAGAATGATCTACATGAGTGAATAACTCTTACAGTATACATAGAACTCTAATGCTTAGTTATTTTTGTTCTATTCTATGCTTCTATAAACTAGAAGAAGAGTAACTAGGCATATCTAAAAGTTGTGAATTGGGTAACAAATTTGTCTATTTATTTACCTACATCACATAAGCATGTACAATGTAAATACGTTTACAACCAGAACTCACTTCTTCATAAAATCGACCAAATCATCTTTTGTCCTCGACCGTGGGTAATCATAAGCATATTTACCATCCCTATATGAAAAACACTGACATTTTTAGCATAGCCAATAACGCGTGAATCAGGAATTGGCTTATTATGAAACAGGAAACACGTGCATGTTACTGTATGAATGCACATCACAATCAACACTTACTTGAAGTATTTGACTAATCATCACGGACATAGAAAGAGAAAATAGTGATTTTAAAATTAGTGGAAAAGAACAGCAATGAAAAGTCATATTAACACAGTGTTACCTGATGGAAAACCATTGACTTCATATTTAGTTCTTAGTTTCTGTTCTTTCATACAATTGACTGCAGCGAGGACACCTTTCACCTGAACAAAGAATAATGAAATCTTGCAATGAATTCACAAGCAGATCTAGCGGTTAAGTATTGTAAGTGGCAAACAGTTTGCGCAAAAAGTCGAGGGTGCGTATTAGGTGGTTAACATGCATATTTCCGCCCGAGCGCTGGAAATTTCAGTTTGTGCAATCTCAGTTTTCATCAAGACGTTTTGGTCTATCAGGTTTTAACATTGTCCCAGTTTATTGTAACTACAATCTTAATCTCTTAATCTTTAAAGCTTATCAGTAAGTCATTTATTGTGTCGGCCAGTGAGTACTGCCACTGCAGACTATTCTTTTTTGTGTCAGCCAACAGTTATTCACGAAAGTTATTCGTGAATATAACTATTATGTTAGAGTTATTCACGCCGAAACAAAAACCGATAGAGATGCAATAGAGAAATGTCACAAACCTTTTGAGTTTTCATTTCATCAGCTGCCTCCACATAAGCTGGTTTCATTGCTTTACAGTGACCACACCCTATAGTAAAACATCGAAAACATTTTGAAATTTTCAATGTAAATCAAATTCTACAAATATAAGACGCATTTTTCAAGAAAAATCATAAATATCAGATTAGTTCGATGATGAATTTAGCTAAATGTAGAATTTCAACAAATTTCCCTATTAATCAAAATTTTGATTAATTCATTAAGGCTGTCTGTCTGTCTGTCTTTATATCCTGTTTTTGTACTGCATCTTCGATGCAAGTCTAGACATGGTTTGACATAGATGCATAATTATTAAGTAAGTAACTAATAATTACTGGTTTCACTTGGTATGACATGAACATATGCCGCTCAGGAATAATTCACACAAAATTTTCCCATTTAAAATTTTCGTCTTATTTTGTTATGTAATCGCAATTTCAAGTGTTACGTGGTTCCAGAAACGGTTAAATTCGATGTTGTGACGAGCAAATCAGGTATCGTACAACTGGGCGCTACAGTAAGTCGCTTACATGGTGCATAAAACATGACCAACATGGAGTCATGTTTTGAAAGGAAGTCTTCAAAGTTGTCATCAGTCAGATGTTCAACAGCACTGGGTTCATCTGACCATTGTTCTTCCTCTGGTGGTGGTGTCGCTGGTTCTTGTGGGTTCTCCATGAATTTAATGAAGTCATCTTTTGTTCGCCCTCCAGTATATTTCTCATCATTTTTACCGTAGTTAAAATACTTGAATGTTGGATAGCTAAGAATGGAGAAATACCCTCAATATTGTCAGCACTATCGCCCAATTACTTGTAACCATTTGTATAATATATGATAATTTCTCAGCATTTATCAAAGTTGAAAATGATATTCATTCTGCTCATTATATGCATGTAGCAGTCTTGTATTTGGGAGGACGCAGTTTTTATATATTTAAAAGTAAATAGGATTACAAACCACAGTTCATCGTTAGAAACTTCATGTCGAAACGATTTGAAGAAATATACGTTGCTGCACAATAATAGCTGCACAAGAGAAATACAAACCCCTGAACGCCGTGGGCACTGCAAGAAGCAGTTTCTTTAGTACAATCCACTGCAGCAAACCCAATCTAAATCAAATTAACACAAACATATTTAAATTACCATTAAAACCCAGTAATTAGTAAATAAACGCGCGCAGCACTTAACGTACCTTCTTGTTCCCAGCGTAGTGGTTGGCAGCTTCTGTGAACTCAGGTTTCGCTTTCTTACAGTGACCACACCCTGAGTAAATACACAAGGTATATCATTAAGACAATCAACATGCCTACTACTAGATTGCAAAGAAGCTCAAGTCTAGTGAATGTGGGATAAGGACAGGACAGGGTACAGAACAGGATAAGGTACAGAACAGGATAAGGTACAGGACAGGATAAGGTACAGGACAGGATAAGGTACAGGACATGACAAGGTACAGGACAGGATAAGGTACAGGACAGGATAAGGTACAGAACAGGATAAGCGACATGACAGGATATACGACAGGACATGACAGGATAAGCGACAGGATAAGGTACTCAGAAAGGGTCTGCAACTTACTGCTATTTTCGCATTTAGATATAAAACTCAACTACAGGTTCTTGCAGACAGCCGGGGAAAAAATTGCGTTTCAAGACTAGCATCTGAAGTAAACTACAATATATATATAGAAAAGAGTATATTGTATCCTACATGGAGCATAGAACATGACCAAGACATGTTTTTTCTTCTTCAAAAAATCTTTAAAATGCACATCTTGTAAATGACTGATTTCACTCTCAGTCTCGCTCCACTCAGGTTCAGAAGGTGGGGGTGGTGGCGGTTCTTTGGGACTGAAATATAAGACAGTATGTTTGTATTTTTCAGCTAGTTGTATTTCCTATATATCGCTGCTGCTTGTCATAGGCGTAGGAGAGAAGGGGGGACTGCAGTCTCCTACCCAATATTTTGGTTGTACTTAAAACCGGACAGATTGCACTTAAAAATTGGACAATTCTACTTAAAAATCAGCTAAATGATTAAAAGGAAGAGCGGCGCGCATTAAAATTGTCGAAAATAGGAAGAAATATGTTACGCTTTGAAAATTATGTTTCGACATCACACAAATTTTGGGAAATTTATAACGAAAAACAATTTTGAATTCGTCGGGCAATTTCATCAACTTTTTTTTTCTCCCGTACGCCTATGCTGTTTATTATTATCGTTACCCACACTGGCTCTGATCGTTCGAGACTATATCAAACCAGACCACAACCTTACAACCACCAATAAAGTGGTGGGTTGAATATCGAAACAGAAATACCATGCAGACAAAAACGGAAATCGTGCACCATCGTGTTTGGTAGTAAATCACAATGCTGTATCAGCATCTCAGTTGCAATGAATGAATGAATGAATGAATGAATGACATTATATTTCATATGATTACATTTGATATGCACTAGGGCTAGACCCATGGCTTGATTATCTTCGAGCATTTAATTGGCAGTTATTCTGCCGAGAAGCATAACATAATGCGTTCCATGAACAAAATTATTACGACACTTTTCGGCATTCTCTTACTGCGACTGTTAAAACTTAACATAAACGAAGATGAAATCAACCTACCAAACTAACGTATTTAGGCCTGTGTTTATTACAGATGAAGAACTACAATCACTAGTTGCATATTATTCTTACCTGCAAAGAACAACGAAAAATTCGTCGTCTCGAGTGGCATTCTGCAGTTCCAGAATAATATGAAACTAGTTTTGAATATATCTGAAACAGTACTCACTCTTTCATGAAATCTACAATGGTATCAGCTTTCCGTTCATTCATCTCAAAAGCAAACTCTCCATCTCTGAAATAAAATATTAAGAAAGTTCAAGAATAAAACCTCCAAGTACAGTACTAGTTTCTCGAAATTTAAGATAGATCTTAAGAAGTTGCTAAAGCCCTTTAATGATATTCCAAATTATAGTCATTAGACTTTACCATAATATTTAGATTGCATGTAAATATTTATGATATTGGTTGTAATTTTGTTTGTAGCCAGTGCTCCGTTTAAACCAGCTATGCTGGATCGGACATCCCTGATTAAATATTTTCTTTATTCATTCATTCTTCATAAATTACACATTTCTTACTTGAAGTATTTCACTGTTTCCAAAAACGTTGCATCAAACCAGGAAAGAGGAAAAAAAACAAAGAAAAAGAACAATGAATGAAAAAAAGTTGAAGTAGAAAAAAGAAACGTTAAATCTAAATCTAAATTTGGGACAGGTTGACCAAAACTATCGAATGAACACCATATTTTTTATCCTCATTACCAGACTCTTACCAGAGGGAAAACCTTTTACTTCAAATCTCTTTCCAAGAGCAGTCTCTTTTGTAGCGTCTACAGCAGCCAACGTGCCGGGAATCTAAGTAATACAAGATTTTCACAGTTAGATGATTCTTGCGAGCATGGTGCACGATGTCATTAAAACATACTAAAAGTTGCGACAAGTGTGTACGCATTGCTGGCTGGACCATACAACAACTGTTTACAGAAGTTCAACGTAGATGATGGTGTCTTAAGCTCTGACCATCAACGAAATTTGAATGTAGATGACGTTGAATATTCTCAGTCTAATGATTATTTTAGGTATGTTACGTGTAGTGCGTTGGTAGATTACAATGTTGACATAGTGCGCTGTAATAGGCCATGTCCAGTTTAGGTAAAAATTTCTGTTCCAACTTACATCTTCATCTTTCATCGTTTGAGCTGCGTCCACATATTCTGGTTTCATTGCTTTACAATGGCCACACCCTTTAGAAAAAATGCAATAACACCAAATTTGAATGCATGAAAACTTAAAGCTCTACCATCTACCATAGTTAATATATGTTAACGGCAGAGTATTAGTGTTTGGAGGTAGGTGCCGTTTGTGGTCCAAGGCCGCAACTAGCCTTGATGGCAAGAAGTATTGCCATAGCAGCAACAATCAGTAATATTAGCAGCAAAAAGAGTTAGCCATGATAATTCTGCCAAGGCATACCTCCGGCACCAGTCACACTGACAAGTCAGTGGAAACGAAGTACAATGTATAGTGGTCTATACATCCTATTTCCTGTGAGCTTAAAACTTTAAAAAAAAAATTTAAAAAAAATAAAAAAAGGATAAAAAACCCCCGACATACTACCAGATAAAATCCTCTAGAATAACATGGGTGGGTGGGGAAAGAGTAACGAGGCGTTAAACTTGCTGCAACTAGGCAAAGCATACAATGGCAGAATGAATACCCAGACCAAAGCACTGATCACAAGGCGCGAAACAACCCCCCTTTGATCGATATGACGTCACGGGCTCCCCTCAGCGGATGTAGCCTGCATAATACATCCGCCGTTAACCTTACTTAAATATATTTAACCACATTTAACTATGGTAGAACACCGATTTTCCTAAGAAAGATTTTTTTCTTTATTAGGATGGCACAAAACAAATGAATCATGCCAATTTCAAATTTTGGAAAGGCTGCAATGTGCCAAGGTGTAGGCGCACAAAGTCTGTTTTGTGAATTAAGTAAAAAAAAATTGAAGGTGAATGCTGCAAGACATGGTTATCTTGAACTTGTACTTTTGAGGCCACATGCATTGCTTAGGAGTTATATTTGAACGAGACGTCGAGATCCAGTTCTCTTTTCAGGGCGCGAAATAACGGCTGGAGGGTCGGCGGTCAAGATGACCGGCCAACTCAATTTTGGCTCGGACATACCGAATTTCTGGCCAGTCAAATTATTCAGCTTAAAGCAAAGCCTAGTAAAGTATACCCCTAAAAATGTGACCATTTTCCCAGTATAGCAGTACAAAAAGCCTTACTGTAATCAGTAATTAAAAATTCCTTCACATAAAACAGCTTGTACTGGGCTAAAAGCATGGTCTTAGCTCTTAAGCCAAAGGCATGGCCATGGGCTTTGTGACGTACTGCGTGCGAAAACTGGTGTACATTGAAGTTGTTTTCCTGCAAAATATTCGACAACATGCATGTTATGGTTCTTAATTATAATACTGTACTTGACCACTTTATTTTGATTATTATTATAAAATGAAGATTAGTTTGTTCTTTTACCGAAAGTGACCGGTCAAAATGACCGGCAAGGTAAGAATTTGACCGGACAACTCCGCATTCTGGCCGGACATTGCCCGTTGACCGGCCGTTATTTCGCGCCCTGCTTTTGGCAAGCATGATTCTAATCTCCCACACTTAAATTTATCGTTGACTTCCTATCCGAAGCTAAAGTATCTTCATTATTGTGCTGCATATAGGAACTGTACAGATCAAATGAGGATGAGAGCGCATGAGAGTTGGCATTCTCAACACTGGCACGTATTCTGTTTAAGTTAAAATATTCTTAACACTCATCAAACGTTTACTTTGTTAATTAATCTGGAGCTTGAAATGTTCCGTAACAAAGGATGTGACACTAGGTTGGCCGAGTGGTTAAGGCGTTGGATTCAATTAAGTTCCAGTATGTGATTGCACGCGTGGATTCGAATCGCACTTCTGGTAGTATTACCAGAATTATTTTTAAAGTCAGACATTAACTGGGACGAAAGTCCTGTTCCTCATCCCAGTCACGTACGTTGTCTTGTAACATGTTATGTATATCAGTGTCAGTGAAAACCTTTGTAACGAATTTAATTATTATAATTATAATTAATAACTCACATCAATTCTCATTCTCGTAAGACGCGTTGCTTAAGTTAAAACGTAACCGACTGACTGAACGCCCAAATACTCCAACGTTACCAACGTTGACTGTAGTGCAGTGTGGGGAAGATAAGAGTAAAACGATTTATATAATAACTACAGTGAAACACGCAATTTGATTGGTCAATAGCCGTGCAGGATCAGCCTATCCTGCACGAGGAATTAAAATGCCTTCGCGGGATTTTCAAAATGTCATTGTTTCACTGCAGTTATTTTATAAAACAATTACCAAATGGTTTTTCAAGCAGGATAGCGTGTTCCATGCACTTGGGATGTTGTTCGACTTTCGGAAAGCGTAAAAATACACTCGCCTGCGGCTCGAGTATTTTTACGCTTTCCGAAAGTCTCGCGACATCTCTCGTGCATGGATCACGCAATCCTGCACGGAAAACCATTCGGTATTCTTTTAGTTCATCATTTCCAAATGTTGTTTACTTACAAGGAGCATAAAACATGACAAGTACGGAGGGATTAGAGGCAATGTAGTCATCAAAAGAATCATCAGTCAAATGGACAACTTCGCTCGGCGAGTCCTTCCATTGTTCTTCTTCCTCATCTTTTGGAGCTTCATCTGTTGGACTGAAAACACAAATAAAGGACACTCATTACGATCATAGCCCCTCGGATTGTTGGTCGTTTAATTTTAGCCTTTACTGTGAAAGTTTGCATTAATTGTTCTCAATTTGTCTGCGCAAGCAATTATAACGAAATATTAAAATGCCCGCGTCTACAGACACCCAAATAAAACGCATATTTTATCAGTTATAAACCTGGAACGCCTCGTATTCCAGAAAATTACCTTGTCTGAACAACTGTCTATGTGGGAACACAAATCAGCGCAAAGCTTATTTTGTTGTGTATCGCCTTTCCCCCCTCTTCTTTAACGTTCATTTGTTTCAATTGCCCATGTCCAGTATGATATATCTGGTTTTACATATGGCGTTCCACAAGGACTTCATCTTTTCTGTTGATTACTATAATTGATTTCTATAATCGTAGTGAGGCTTTTGAATGTAACATATTTCCAGACGATACAATTATTTTATGCGTGAACAGAAACAATCATAAAGAGAAATCTACAAAAAATCTTCACTTGGCTGACAGCTGACAAATTGTCTTTAAATAGAGTAGAATATCGCTAACTCAAACACCCAAGGGAAGCGAAAAATGGTTCGAGTTAACGCGGGTCGGTGTTGGATTACGGTTTGGGGTAATACATATCTTTCTACAATCTAATCTGATCCGATTTCAAAAACGTGAGAATTATAACCTTTTCTAACTTTAACAGCCATACAACTCCGCTTTTAGACAACTCAATATATACAATTGTTGATCTATTTCTTTTTGATAATGCTCTATTTCTGTTTGATTTCCACACTGGTGAATTACTGACTGCATATTTGATGATTTTTTTAAATGCTGTGCGCTATTGCATGCGCTGGCATCATTCCATCAAAACTCAACTTAAAGGTGTCGTTAAAAATTCCCTTTTACAATTTTAAATAACGAACGATATAGTTTTCTCGTGTGATATTCTTGATAAAACTTTTCATAGTTCATACTTTCAAATTAGTTATAATGTGAGTATCTCCTTTCTGTATTAGCCTAAGTTAAAAAATTTTTGATACATCATTTTATTTATGTATTCAGGAGTATGAATAAATTATCTTGTATTTTGCCAAACATGTTCACAGCGGCTACAAACAGCACCCAACGTTCCTGAAAGTCTTCAGGAGATTTGTATGATTATCTACACTATACTATCAAGGTTTCGGCCTTGATAATTCTGGATATCATAAAACCAATAACTATTTATTAAACAATAAAGTCAATACAAGTAATCATAATTGTCATAATCGTATATAATATGTGCCTAATCGCACACAGTTTTTCGACTGTGAATGAAAGTAGCATCTCAACATCCTAAAATGCAGGCGAGGTAAAAAAGAAGTCAATCAGAAGGGGTAAAATAAAAACCAGACGATTAGAAAGAAGTGTGGTTTTCTTCCATTCAAACTGAGGAATTCAATCTTAGTCCTTCAAATACCTGTGCATGATTGCGGTGCTTTCCGAAGGGCAAGGTAACGGCCTTGTTTGTATAAACAACTGTGTAATTTCAAACTGGCAACGACGACGACGACGACGACAACAGTAATTTAAGAATAAACTTACTTTTGAAGCCATTCAATTAGAAGATCTTTCTCGTGTTTTCCTTTATATCTGTGCAATTCCTTGCCACCACTACACAGGGAAACATGAATTGAGATGCATTTAGATTAAACGAACAAAGACTGCTTAAAGAGACCCTAAAGATTACCTAACGCTACTTTCCAGTTATTCTGCCAACAGTACGCTCAGAAAGGTTTATAATATTTTTTAAACGATATCTATGGTTGATATTTATATAAACTAAACCTTAATGTACTATTTAAAAAACGAGCAGGAGTGTTTTATTAGGTTTAAAGCCACGAGCGCGCAGCGTAACAATGGTCTTTTGTTAAAGTGTTCTTTAGCTGGTATAAAGACGTATGCACGTGACTAATTTCTTACTCAAGATTGGATAATTGCTTCATGAATTATTAATGAGTTTTTGAATAATACTTAAAATACTCATTAAAAATTCATAAACCTTATGGCAAATCATGTCAGTCATAATATGTCATGTGGAGTGACTTTTATATATCTGATAAAACTCATCTTCATTAGTATTCTTTATATAATTGTCCATCCTAATTAGTATGATGATATAATTGTTCATCCTAATTAGTATTCTTTTGTAGTCGTATTTAAGCTATTCAAAACACTCGAACTCGCGTTTTATCATATCTAAAATGCTCGGCTGCGCCTCGCGTTTTAAATATGATAAAACACTCCTTCTCGTGTTTTAAATAGTACATCTCACACGGACATATACAGTACAAAGTCTATACATTTGTTCAAGTGATTGTACCAGAAGTACTCAGTATCGTATTATTTAAATGAACAGTATAGATCATACTGCATGTAACATTTATTGCTGAAATAGAACTGCTCCCACGGTTCATTATCGTAAATGAGTAATCGTCATCAACAATCGATTGATCGTATTGAATCAATCTAGACACGTCCACGGTATAGTTAATGTCGCCTCCAATGTTAATGTTTCAACGCTTTTATTTGACAGCAACTGCGAGCGTTAGTGGCAGTAGAGAAATAATAAAACAAGTCGCGTTTGTCACTTGATCACATCGAAAACCTCTTTCACTCGGGAAAGAAAGTTATCATGCTATATGCACAGCTGTTTTGTTAAAGCGTTTATAGTTAAGAATAATCGATTGCCAAAAAAACCCACAAAACAATCGATTAATCGGGAGCAGCTCAACTGAAACGTAGACGAAAATTCAACTTACTGAAAGTATATTAATGTTGGAAATCCGGTAATATTAAACTGCATTCTTGTGTTCATACTATCGGCATTGTCAACATCCATTCCCGCGAGAAGCTAGAGACATTTACAGAAAGTTTAACACAATTAGACAAATTAAATGTGTTTGAATTTCTGTGTTAGAACATTCTGGGGGTTTGCAAGGCGACAACTCAATTGTACATCTATACGAGTTTAACAACAAGCCTGACACAATACGTAACTACTTACAACAGATTGTTTCACTTCCGTAGCAATTTCTTGATAAACTGGCTTTAATCTTTTGCAGAATCCGCACCCTGTACATTGAAAAAATATTTAGTAATGCGTTATAAACTGGGTGGATTGCGGGGGGGGTGCTATTAGGAATATTTTACCCCGTCAAACTACAGTACAGTAGACTAAAAATACTTTTTGAAACAATTTCAGGTTTTACTGAATGTTAGTTGGAAACACATTAAGTTGGCAATGCTACCAAATGGCGTTTTATCACAAACCATAAAAATTAAATTAGATTTGCAATCGATTTTTACGAACATGCAGGTTAAAAGGGTTAGTTGCATACAAAGAAACGCCGTGGAAACGAGAAAAACTAGAACCCACAGCAGACGATTTTATTTGCATTCAAGACATGAAAGACAATAATTTCTGGGAAACAGAGGCGGCGGCCGAAAATGATGACATTTAGTTTTTCATGGATTTCCATGGACCCGAAAATACATAAAAAAATTCTTTAAGATTTGCAACTAAGTTAACAATACGCTTTGAACTCACAAACCTCCATGCAAAAATAAATAGAGTATAATAAAGATCATTTTGACCACTTACAAGGTGCGTAAAACATAACAAAAAGGGGCTTCTTCTCTTTGGTTACTAACTTGGCCAAATCCTAAAAATCGCAGAAAAATAACTTGGGTACGCCTTTTACAGATTAATACGTACAATATATGCTTGGCAGCATGCCTTCGGCTTCTCATTGTATCATGAGTTACGAGATTGTTTTGAAATGCTGGCTATAAGACGTACTTTAAATATAGTGATAAAAATAACTGGATAAACTGACCTTATCGCCATCAACATGTCGAACAGTGTCGGCACCAGGCTCTTCTGCCCACGGCGTGTCTCCAGTTGGATTATTCATGAAAGTTGTAAGAGACTAGAGATTGTGAAAATAGGTAGACTAGTTATCAATTACAGGAGATATACCGGAATCGAAGGGCCGGAAATTACACGGTTCGAGAAGTATTAATGAAAAATCACACGCGTGTTTGGCGAAATATTTATGCATACTAATTTATTGGTATAAAAATAAGATATCGAAAATACCTTTAAAGTGTCTTTTCTATCATAATCTTTATTAAATTTACCATTTCTGTTTGAAAGAAATATACATTCTTGTTGAGGTTTTGTCTCATCCATAACGTCTCAAATGCAGGACAAGAGTTAGGGAAAGTGTTGTGTAAAGAGGAAATATATGAACACGAAACACATTTTAGGAAGTATAATTTGACTTACTTGTAATGTTTTAATACTGGACCATACTTGGCAGAAATTTTGAATTTCTTGCATAATTTGGAATACTCCCTGCAAGCAAGAAATTTATCATTATCATGCATTGATCATTACTGATCTCCTGGTATTTGATTGTCAATAATCAGTGATGCAAAGTATCAATTAAAAATATAAAATTACTAGTTACGTTATTCTAATGAAGTTACATTGCCAGCCGTATTGCCACGTAAGAACCGTTACGGTGTAACTGTGATAATAAAATAATGCAAAGAGAAGCACCTGTAGGCGCTGCTTAAAGTGCATATGACATGAAAATTTTCTTAAATGAAAGAACTCTTCAAGCTGTAGTGTAACTTATTTTTCAGTTTGTTGTTTTTATAGTTTTTTCCAGAGATATTTAAATTTGTCCAAGATGATAATTTCAAACTTCACTCATTGGGAAATGTGATGAAATACTGGAGAAAAACGTGAACTGATATCTAGAGTTTTGAGAGTTAATAGATTTATAACCAGTATAAGTTGAGCTTGCAACCAAAGTGACGTCATAAATTAGCGGACATATTCACACTCATTTACATATCAAACAAATTGAAATATCTCGGGAACAAACCATGAAAACAAGAAACTGGAAAATAAGTTACACTACAGCTTAAGGTGGCTCGATATAGTTATCACAAAAACCCTGTTCAAGAATCGCGAACTCAAAACCGGTTGACCATTTTTACGCGCAGGTCGCGGAAACTGATTAACAAAATGACAGAACTTCCAAAATGACCTGACGTGAGCAGTTGCTCGCGCCATCTCACGTCATTGCGCGTGTTCTATAGCGTTTTATGTCAATTGCTGACGTCATTAGAATTTTCCATTTTAGAAAAACAATGCGCTATATCTCTTTATTTTGTCTGGTGACCTATGTTCAAATTTTGCATGCTGTATTGCACCGCTAAAAATTTTCATTCATTCAAGAAAATAAGATATTTCATGTCATATACACTTTTAAATAAAACGGTTACACATACCCACAATTTACGAAAGCTACAGATCCTTTTCCTTTGAAATCTTGTGCCAAAGCACCCAACAAATTCAACTTATCTGAAACTTCTTTTTCTATAAGATACAGTATGTACAATATATCATTAGATAATGGCCGGTTCATGCAAGTGCAGGAATTTAGACATTTTGCATTTAATTTCGTGAGATGTTAAAGGAATACAAAATAGTTTTCTCCGTGCAGGATAGCGTCATCCACGCGGGATGTTGCGACACTTTCGGAAAGCGTAAAATACACGAGCCGCAGTCGAGCGTTTTCTTTCACTGGGAAAACGTTTCTTAACCAAAGGTGGAGTCGTAGCAGACGCATCTACTTCTCCACTGACGTAAAACAAATCAACGCGCAGGCCCCAATCTCAGCTTGATCACATTTCACCTCGTCCTCCCCTCTCCCCTTGTTTGATCTCATCATCCACCTAAAGCCCTATGGCGATGGACGAATGGTGAGGGGAAACGGGTATTGGTGAATACTGGAAGTTCGTAGCCATAAACCTGTACACAGGTGGTTTTGACCTGATGGTCGTTGTGTGCTGGGACCAGGAACAGCAGCACACTTCGGCAGCTGCCATTGCGACGAAGCAGCCGCCACTCTGCTTCCCCCAAATCTGGAGGGGACTAGAAAAGGTGTCCCAAAATAGCCTGTTCCGTTAATTCGACAGAAGTACCACATCCTATAGGATCACCCTTATTGTGGTCGGAATCGAAGCAAAATAATTAGCCTGCCTTCACGGATTGCGACCTGAAATATGAGAACTCTTCTCGACATCAACCCTAATACAGCATCGATACTGCTGCTTTAGCCGAAATACGCTTCTCAGAGGAAGGTCAGCTCACAGAAAAGGGATACACATTCTTCTGGAAGGGGAAGCCAGATGGTGAACCTCGTACTCATGAAGTGGGTATTGCGATCACTATTGCGATAAGGGACAGTTGAAGCCCGACGATGAGACCAAAGAGGCATTCTATGCCGCCTTCGACAGACACAACCGTTCCAAATGGAGATAAACTTCTTCTTCTTGGCGACTTCAAAGAGGGAAGAGCCTGGGAACGAGGTTGCTTCAATGCACGAGTTGGTCGTGATTCCACTGAGTGGGGAGAGGCATGTAGTAAAACACTGACTACCGGAACACCGGAACACCACCGGAACACCGGAACACCACCATTTTGTTTGGGGTTAGGGTTAGGATTAGGGTTTGGGGTTAGGGTTGAGGGTTAGGGTTGGGGGTTAGGGTTGGGGTTAGGGTTGGGGGTTAGGTGGTGTGGTGGTGTTCCGGTAGTCAGTGTTTTACTACATGCCGTGGGGAGAAGCCATTGGCAAAGAATGTGTCGGAAATGTAAGCTCAAACGGACTACTGCTCCTTAGTAAGTGTATCGAACATGAACTTACCATTACCAACACCGCGGAAAAACGTCTGCGCATGCGTCAACCTTACCTGTAATAGTATTGAGGAGAAGCTGTTCCGAACGTTTCCGAAGGCTCAAAATGGCGGTAAAAAGGAGTGACTTCATTGTGCGTCTTTACGGCCACATTTCGAGTGCAAAAATAAACATGTCATTCTAAAAACTACGAATAAATACAGCCAGAAGGTTCAAGAAATTGTATTGTACAAGAACATGAACTAAAGGTGATTGTTGACAAATTTATCGTCTGAAACATTTTGTTTATCAACTAAGCAACGACAATTTCCAAATTTTCGTTTGAGATACATTTCTTTAAAAAAAACTGTGTCGCCAAATATAAAAAATTTTCGTGTTCACAATAATTAAACTTTAGGATTTATTCTACAATTTGAGTGGGTTAAGAAGCTTAACTTTTCGAGAGTTTTCTTAACTTTTTAGTTTGAATTTTTGTTTTGAATAATTTTGCAAAAATTTTCGAAGTCGTGTCCGTTAAAATCAACAATTTTTTACATGAATTATATTTCATTCCATGCTTTAAATGCCAGGACGCTTTCAATTAATGTCTAGTCTACCCATTTGCTATATTTTCTCGTTTGTTTTACTAATTTTGACCAATTAATAAGCATGTTTTTGTTTTAGAAATTGATATTCAAATTCCCCGCCATATTTTCATAATTTGGTGCATGCGCAGACGTTTTTCCGCGGTGTTACCATTACCTACACCCTGTTCAGACAGAGAAATCGATAAAAGACAACCTGGATGCACCCCAGGTCCAAACACTGGCATCTGTTGGACTACAACATCGTAAAAGCTCGCGACAAAAAGGAAGTCATGTCCAAAAGAGCGGTAAAAGGATCGGATGCAATGTGGACAAATCATAAAATGGTGGTGGCGAACGTCTTGCTATGTATTGCCAAGACATCCAATTCGCAAAAAGGTTAACCTAGCTGCCCTGAATAACCCAGAGAGAGCAACAACCTCGTTCCCAGGGTCTCTCCGTCTGTCATCTGGGAGAGACCCTGGCTGCGGCTGGTCACGTGCCTCCCAGATTCTGGGAGGTAAATTTAATTGTAACTGTGAGAGGGGTGGGAAAGGAGAGTGTTTGTAGCGTTTTAAAATTGCAACTTTGGGTGATGAAATTTACTGTAAATTTGCAACAAGAAATCGTAATTATAAAGAGAACTCTTGAATTATATTTATGTCGTGACGTTCTACTCTATAATCTGGTGTCGAGTTACAATTCAAGCAAGTTGGATCAGATTTCATTATAGACTTGCCAAAGAAAGCACGCTTGCCGCTTGTGCAGCGTGGCAATATTAAACTGTGATTAAACCTACAAGAAAATATATATCTCTAGACCGAACAGTGTGGTTGTTATTTATTTAGTATTAAAGTTTATCCTGATACTCGGACCAAAAGAATTTATTTATTGATGAGATGTGGAATTGCAACGAAATAGCGAGATCTTTTGATTTCCGAAATATCGCCAACTGTATCCAGATTGTTGATCTATATAAAGGCCTTATCAAAAAACTTAAAGCCCGTCAAAAGACTATAAAATTGGCCCTTGGCATTGCTGAATCCAACGATCATGGTATATGTCAAAGTATAGCTGTCTGTTGAAAATCTACTGTATTAAAATCATACACCAAAGATAAGTCAAACGGCAAATTATATGTCACTGTATTATACATGTCTTTCAATGAGCACTGTTTAGTAGTGTAGTAGTGTTCACCACCTTTATAAATTTTGTAAACAGCTTTCGTTTTGACATGAATAAGCTTTAATTTTTTGCTTTATATGCATTCTTAATATATACAAGTGAGATTTAAATTTTTGCTTTGTGAAATAGAATACCGTTATTTTTTAATGGACAGCTTGCATCGTCTATATCATATCCAGGATCGCTTGTGTGTAAACGCATTATTCACTATATGACATTGACACTATCAAATAAATATAAGTAGCAAATGATTAATGAGTTAGAGATAAACAGGTGATTCACAATGAAAACTTTAAAAATGTTAGTAGAAGTAGAAAACTCGAAAATTTATGTCTATTCGTATGACGCCAAATGACGGTCTGGTCTAGATTATAGTATATTAGCACAATATAATGATTAATAGAGACCAAGAAAAAGGCTAAAGTCTTACTATAATTACCGAATACGAATTTATGTAGTAAATCCAGATAAATCAATGACTGAAATTTCCTGTATGCTTATGGACATTTCTCTGTTCGGCTATTATCAAATGTTTACATTTGCTAATATTTGGGCAGTCCTAATCTCCTAGACAATACTGTTTCTTTTAAAAATCTTATAAACAAGACGCGTAGTAACAAGTGAATCGGTGCAAAGCGTATCAACGTTTACAAGAAAGGACAAATGTAATGGCCTATTTTAAAAACATTACAACAAACGTTTGTTATAACCGCGCTCGAGTGTGAAGAGAGCATGCATTGAATAACAACACGAGAGAGCACTGCGAGTAACGATTCGCTTGGTTTCTTGACTTGACTGTAAGTAAGAATGTAACAATGTTCTTGTAAATTCAAAGCAAAGAAAATAAACAAAAATTAGCAAGTATTTTGAACGTAATAATTCGCAAAATCTATGTTTTTAACGAATATCCCACTAGAAGCATGTTGATGTAATTTGATACTTTCCCCACACCCCCTCAGGCGCTAAATTTTTGATGAAGCACGTGACCAGCCGCAGCCAGGGTCTTTCCCAAAGAAAGATCCTGGGTACGAGGTTGAGATAGAGCAAGTCTAGTAAACACGGAGTGGATAGCTTGTACTTGTAATTATTGAAGTATTTCAGTTGTTTCGGCAGTTTTTATTGACATTTTTCAGGAAAATTAGCAGTATGGTACCCTACTTCCCGTCACCCCCCGCCCGCATCAATGAAAATGCCTATCACTTTCAAAAGTACAAAATGCCAAATGGCGTGATCTACCCACTCAATTCGAGTACACAAACGGCTTCATGTACCCGCTTAACTCTTTCTCAACCGGCCCCTATTTGATATTTTACTATTTAAGAGGCAATTTTTTTCAATGAAAAGTGTAATGAAAAGTGTTCAAAACCTAAAATCTTTTTGGCGTTCCTCTCAAATTACTTTGTTTTAGCGTTATTCTCCAGCTTATAGAGTTAGCTACCTTTTTAAATGCATCTGCCGGTTGAGAAACACAAAATAATAGTTAAAAATTGTCAATTAAAACACAACTATCAATGATGCTTTAAAATTGACGCCATATTTACAGCCATATAAGCAAAACTTACTGAACTTCAGACATCATTTTCTCTTTGGCGTATCATCTATAATCTCATCATTTTGGCATTATTTTACAGATAAGGCACTAAACATACTTTTTAAGTTTGTTTGCCGATTGAGAAACGTATCGAAAAATAAAAATTTTGAATTTAGTCATAACCTCTAGCGATATATTATACGCATTAGTTTTGAGCGCGTGTTACGTAACATACAAAAAAATCTCCTCTTAATTAATTCTAATGTAAATATCTTAGTGAGTTTTTTTACCGCATATGAACCTGCGCGGGAATATCCCAACAGATTTCTAGTCTGTCGCCTTAACCACTCGGCCACGACCACAAGCTGTTGACCGCCTTTGATCTGGAAGTTTTCATAAAATAAGCATTTTTATCTCTTCAAATTTCCACTGCTATCCATTGGAAATCTCTGGATGGTCGAATTACGGAATAATCCTTTATTTGGAAAAATCTCAACAGATTTCCACTGTCCCACTAACCTTTACCGCCTTTGATCTGGACGTTTTTTCATAAAAAAAACTATTTTTATCTATTAAAACATATACTACTCTCTATTGGAAATCTCTGGTTGGCGCAGTTAAATCATGGATTGTAAAATAACTGGATAGGAAACTTCTGACGTCATTGACTCATCCTTGTTGAAAAACGTGACGTCACGCGTATTGCGAATGTTACCAAAGTTCTCGGCATTTTTGTTGTTTTGCTATATTTTCCACTTTAAAAGGGTGATATTGAAGCATAAACTGGTCTAATTGTTTTAAAAACATGCCGAAGCCACGACAAAGTATTCAAGGTAAATGTTTTTCGTGTTTGTTTTGTATTTTTTTTTTCATTTTTAGCTACGAAATTGGCGTCACAAATTTTAACGAAATTTGCGATGTATTTTTCGCAAACTTGCGATCTTTCGCAAACTTGCGAAATTTGCGATGTATTTTAACGAAATTTGCGATGTATTTAACGAACCTACAAGAATTACTAATTGTTCTCAAACCTTGATTGATCTATGTTTCACAAATGTACCATCAAAAATAATAAAATTCGGCGTTAACCACATATCTATTAGTGATCATTCACTTGTGTTTATGACTTATGAAACTAATATAGAACGTACCGGGACGCGCACAATAAAAACTCGTTGTTTAAAGAATTTCAATAGAGATAATTTTCTTAGAGACTTGGAACAAAAGCGGTGGTGTGATGTTAACACAAATACTGATCCTAATGATATGTGGGACACGTGGAAAAGTTTATTAATGGAGTGCATTGACAAGCACGCACCATCTCGCTCCAAAAGAGCAGGCAAAAAAAATCGCCGTGGATAACAAGCCAATTGTTACGACATATGCATAAACGAGATTATCTGAAGCGGAAAGCAACATTGGCCGATGATCAAACTTTATGGGAAGAATGTAGGGTTGCTCGAAATCGTACCAATAACGAAATTAGAAAAGCAAAGCAAGAGTATTTTATAACGAATTTGGAAACTGCTAAAACAAATCCTAGAAAAACATGGAAATTAATTAACGAACTAAGCTCGCGTAATTGTAATAAGTCAAGTAACATTAACGAGATTAAAGTAGACGGAAAAACAATAAATACACCTGCAAATATAGCTGAAGCTTTTAACAATCACTTCTCAAATGTTGGTGAGAATCTAGCCTCAGAGATACCCATTTCTAACGTCAACCCTGAAGACTATTTAGAATCAACTGAGCAGAGATTTTCCATTAGACCTCCTACGGTTGATATGGTTTATATTCTGTTGAGTAAAATTAACGAACGAAAAGCTCCAGGTCTCGACAACATTCCTAATAAGCTGTTAAAAATAGCGGCAGCAATAATCTCACCATCATTAACTGATATATTTGCCAGATCAATTAACACTGGCATATTTCCATCCGAGTGGAAAATGGCTAGAGTAACACCAATATTTAAGAAAGGAAAAAGGAATGATCCGAATAACTATCGACCAATATCAGTTATTTCAGCTGTAGCCAAAATCTTCGAAAAATTAATCTTTGAGCAACTTTATAATTACTTCAGTTCTAACAGCTTGTTAACGCATTGCCAGTCCGGTTTCAGGTCGTTACATAGTACACTTACTGCTCTTCTTGAAGCCACTAGTAACTGGTCAGTTAATATTGACAATGGCCTCTTCAATGGAGTAATATTTATCGACCTTAAAAAAGCATTCGATACTATTGATCATCAGATATTGCTGCGGACGCTTCGAATTTACGGTATGGATCAATTAAGTCTCGAATGGTTTCAGTCTTATTTGACCGGTCGATCTCAGAAATGTAATGTTAGAGGTTGCTTGTCATCATCTGCATCAGTTACACGAGGTGTACCACAGGGAAGTAACTTAGGACCATTACTCTTCCTTGTGTATATTAACGACCTTCCTAATTGTCTTAGTGCAGCAGTACCGAGAATGTTTGCTGATGATACGAACATTAGTTATGCGGCCAACACTATCGCCGAACTAGAAAATGTTATTAATTCGGAATTAAAAAAATTGAAAAGCTGGTTGGAAGCGAACAATTTAAGCCTTAATATCGCCAAGACAGAATTTATGATAATAGGATCTCGACAACGTATGCATGCGTACACTAACGAAAATATCAATATTGACCTGGATGGTCATGTGATTAAACAAGTTGATGAGGCAAAATCACTAGGTGTAATTATTGATAAAAATCTGTCTTGGTCTAAACACATTGATATGAAGTGTAAAAAGATTTCTTCCGCTATAGGTGCTCTTAAGCGAATAAAACCATTTATATCAACTGAAACAGCAATCCAAATTTACAACGCTATAATTCAACCTCACTTTGATTACTGTAGTCCTATTTGGGACGAATTTGGCGCAACATTATGTGAAAAAATGCAAAAATTGCAGAATAGAGCTGCTAGAGTGATTACGAAATCCAACTACGATGTCAGCTCTAGCATTCTCTTAGAGAAACTGCATTGGGACAATCTTTCCTTACGTAGGAAAAAGCACAAGTCTATATTTTAATGTTTAAAACTATCAATAAGCTAACGCCAGAGTATTTACAAAACATGTTTACATTTCGCAGCACAGATTATAACTTAAGAAATGCAGAAATGAAGCTAAATTTACCAAAACCACGTACGGACTTTATGAAGCGTAGTTTCTGCTACAGTGGAGCAAGTTTATGGAATGCGCTTCCTCAAACTGCACGTACGTCCAAATCATTGAGGCATTTCAAAAATGAAATTAATCAATCAGTCTTGACATTATAATGGGATCCCCACACGGCAATCTTGGAAAACAGTGCATTTTAGTTAGGAAATTAGTGTGTATATAGTGATGTGTGAAATTTATTAATAGTTTTTGTATTTTATTCTACACTGAAGATTTTACCGTGTTTAAATAAATGTTCAATGTTCAATGTTCAATGCTGTTTAGTGCTTGAAATATTCGCTAAAATTGACTGGGAATACTTAAAGTTTTCATCGTAGAATGGCGTGGTTATATATTTATTCGCTCTTTGACTAAAATGTTTACCTGTATTATTGCTAAACATGCAGTTTTTGAGAATTTGCTTTTCAACTAGGTTGAGGCATCCAACCACGCCATCAGCCCATTAAAAACATTAGGTCACGTCAGCTAGTTTCCTATCCATTTATTTTATTATCCATGGTTAAATTAAGGAAAGAAATTTTTGTTTGAAAAATGTCCTTTATTTGGTGAAATGTACCAGTATTCAGACCTACGTGGATAAATCTCAACAGATTTCAACTGTCACACTAACCTTTTTACCCACAACTACGTGGTGATTCTCAGATCAAATCCTGCATTTCTCCGAGACCATGCTATATTTCTTATCATACTTGGGATTAAAAAGGAGCGGGCGGATTTGAACCACCAACTTCTCGATCTGCAGTCGAATGCTCTGCCACTGAGCTACACTCCCGACTTTCTTCACCAAGAATTAAGTAATACTGAAACTCTTTACATCCACTACTGTTCTTGTTAATATTAATCTGGCAACATTGAGCTTTTCTTCATTCCTTCACCTAATGTAGTGTCTTAAAATTTTTACCTTTGTCTCTATTCGTAGATTGCGTAGTCGGCTGGATTTGAACCAGCCCGGTAATATCCCAACAGATTTCTTGTCGGTCGCCTTAACCACTCCACCTCTAGAAACTGTTGATTCCCAACGTTTTCGTAAAACGAAGTATTTTTATCTCTTAAAACATACGCTACTATCTATTGGAAATCTCTGGTTGGCCGACTTGAATTAAAGAAAGAAATTTCTGTTTGAGAAATGTGCTTTATTTGTAAAAATGTCCCATTATTCACACCTATAGGTGGAAAAATCTTAACAGATTTCCACCGTACCATTAACCTATACCCACGACTACATGGTGGATGCTTATATTTTTTATCATATTTGGGAATCAAAAGGAGCCGGCGGATTTGATCCACCCACCTCTCGATCTGCAGTCGAATGCTCTGCCATTGAGCTACACTCTACACTTTCTTCTCCACCAATTATCTAATACTCAAATTATTTACATTTACTACTCTTGTTGTCTATATTCATCTAGCAAAATTGTGCTTTTCTTTATTCCTTTACCTAACGTAATGTCATAAAATTTTCAGCAAACTTTATATATTCAGAGATTGCGTAATCGGCAGGATTTAAACCTGCGCGGGTATATCCCAACAGATTCCAAGTCTGTCGCCTTAACCGCTCGGCCACGACTAGAAACTATCGACTTCCATTGATCTGGACGTTTTGGAAAAAAAACCTTTTTATTTCATCATTCAGACATTGGTGGAAAAATCTCAACAGATTTCCACTGTCCCACTAACCTCTACCCACGACTACCCAGTGATTATATCTTTTATCATATTTGGGAATCGAAAGGAGCGGGCGAATTTGATCCACCGACCTCTCGATCTGCAGTCGAGTGCCCTGCCATTTAGCTATACTCCCGATTTCTTCTCTACGAATTATCTAATACTCGATTATTTACATTTACTACTCTTTTTGTTAATATTCATCTAGCAAAATTGTGCTTCACCTAACGTAATTAAAATTTTGACCTTGTCTATGTTCGTAGAATGCGTAGTCGGCAGGATTTGAACCTGCGCGGGAAAATCCCAACAGATTTCGAATATGTCGCCTTAACCACTCGGCCACGACTACAAACTGTCGATTCCGTTTGATGCGGACGTTTTCCTAAAAAGAACTATTTTTATTTGTTAAAACATACACTACTATCTATTGAATACCTATGGTTGGCGCAGTTAAATTAAAGAAATTGTGCTTTATTTGTAAAAAGTCCCATTATTCAGACCTATAGGTGGAAAAATCTCGACAAATTTCCACTGTCCCACTAACCTTCACCCGCGACTACATAGTGATTATCAGATCTAATCGTGCTATTAATATTCATCTAGCAAAATTGTTTTGCGGGCGGATTTGAACCACCGACCTCTCGATCTGCAGTCGAATGCTCTGCCACTGAGCTACACTCCCGACTTTCTTCTCCAGGAATTATGTAATACACAAATTCTTTTGACCTACTACTCCTCTTATTAATATTCATCTAGCAAAATTGTTCTTTTATTTATTCCTTTCCCTAACGTAATGTCATAATATTTTGACCAAACCTTATATATTCGGAGATTGCGTAGTCGGCAGGATTTGAACCTGCGCGGGAATATCCCAACAGATTTCAAGTCTGTCGCCTTAACCACTCGGCCACGACTACAAACTGTCGACTGCCATTGATCTGGACGTTTTGGAAAAAGAACTATTTTTATTTCATTCAGACCTGGGTGGAAAAATCTCAACAGATTTCCACTGTCCCGCTAAACTCTAACCACGACTACCAAGTTATTATATCTTTTATCATATTTGGGAATCAAAAGGAGTCGGCGGATTTGATCGGTCCACCTCTCGATCTGCTGTCGAATGCACTGCCATTGGGCTACACTCTCGACTTTCTTCTCCACGAATTATTTAATACTCAAAATATTTACATTTGCTACTCTTGTTAATATTCATCTCGCAAAACTGTGCCTTTTTTATTCCTGCACCTAATGTAATTAAATATTTTGACCTTGTCTATCTTCGTAGATTACGTTGTCGGCAGGATTTGAACCTGCGCGGGAAAATCCCAACAGATTTCTAGTCTGTCGCCTTAACCACTCGGCCACGACTACAACTGCGGATTCCGTTCGATGCGGACGTTTTCCTGAAAACAACTATTTTATTTGTTAAAACATACACCACTATCTATTGGAAATCTATGGATGGCCCAGTTAAATTAAAGAAAGAAATTACTGTTTGAGAATTGTACTTTATTTGTAAAAAGTCCCATTACTCAGACCTATAGGTGGAAAAATCTGGACAAATTTGCACTGTCGCACTAACCTTTACCCACGACTACATAATGATTATCAGATCTAATCGTGCTCTTTGCGGAGACCATGCTATGTTAATTTTTTATCATACTTGGGATTAAAAAGGAGCGGGCGGATATGAACCACCGACCTCTCGACTGCAGTCGAATGCTCTGCCACTGAGCTACACTCCCGACTTTCTTCTCCTGGTATTATGTAATACACAAATTCTTTTCACCTACTACTCCTCTTATTAATATTCATCTAGCAAAATTGTTCTTTTATTTATTTATTTCCCTAACGTAATGTGATAATATTTTGACCAAACCTTATATATTCGGAGATTGCGTAGTCGGCAGGATTTGAACCTGCGCGGGAATATCCCAACAGATTTCGAGTCTGTCGCCTTAACGACTTGGCCACGACTACAAACTGTCAACTGCCATTGATCTGGACGTTTTGGAAAAACGAACTATTTTTATTCATTATTCACACCTGGGTGGAAAAATCTCAACAGATTTCCACTGTCTCACTAAACTCTACGCAGGACTACCAAGTGATTATATCTTTTATCATATTTGGGAATCAAAAGGAATCGGCGGATTTGATTGGTCCACCTCTCGATCTGCAGTCGAATGCCCTTCCAATTTTCTATACTCCCGACTTTCTTCTCCACGAATTATCTAATGCCAAATTATTTACATTTTCTACCCTTTTTGTTAATATTCATCTCGCAAAATTGTGCTTTTCTTTATTCCTTCACATAACGTAATTAAAATTTTGACCTTGTCTATCTTCGTAGATTACGTAGTCGGCAGAATTTGAACCTGGGCGGGATAATCCCAACAGATTTCTAGTCTGTCGCCTTAACCACTCGGCCACGACTACCAACTGCGGATTCCGTTTGATGTGGACATATTCCTAAAAAGAACTGTTTTTATTTGTTAGGACGTAGACTACTATCTATTCGAAATCTATGATTGGCGCAGTTAAATTAAAGAAATAAATTACTGTTTGAGAATTCTGCTTTATTTGTAAAAAGTCCCATTACTCTGACCTATAGGTGGAAAAATCTCGACAAATTTCCACTGTCGCCCTAACCTTTACCGACGACTACATGTTGATTATCAGATCTAATCGTGCTCTTTCCAGAGACCATGCTATGTTAATTTTTTATCATACTTGGGATTAAAAAGGAGCGGGCGGATTTGAACCACCGACCTCTTGATCTGCAGTCGAATGCTCTGCCATTGAGCTATACTCCCGACTATCTTCTCCAGGAATTATGTATTACACAAATTCTTTTGACCTGCTACTCATCTTATTAATATTCGTCTAACAAAATTGTTTTATTCTTTATTCCTTTCCCTAACGTAATGTCATAATATTTTGACCAAACCTTATATATTCGGAGATCGCGTAGTCGGCAGGATTTGAACCTGCGCGGGAATATCCCAACAGATTTCGAGTCTGTCGCCTTAACCACTCGGCCACGACTACAAACTGTCAACTGCCATTGATCTGGACGTTTTGGAAAAAAGAACTATTTTTATTCATTAATCAGACCTGGGTGGAAAAATCTCAACAGATTTCCGCTGTCGCACTAAACTCTACGCAGGACTATCAAGTGATTATATCTTTTATCATATTTCGGAAACAAAAGGAATCGGCGGATTTGATCGGTCCACCTCTCGATCTGCAGTCGAATGCTCTTCCAATTTTCTATACTCCCGACTTTCTTGTCCACGAATTATCTAATGCCAAATTATTTACATTTTCTACCCTTTTTGTTAATATTCATCTCGCAAAGTTGTGCTTTTCTTTATTCCTTCACATATTTGGACCTTGTCTATCTTCGTAGATTACGTAGTCGGCAGAATTTGAACTTGCGCGGGAAAATCCCAACAGATTTCTAGTCTGTCGCCTTAACCACTCGGCCACGACTACAAACTGCGGATTCCGTTTGATGTGGACGTATTCCTAAAAAGAACTATTTTTATTTGTTGGAACGGAGACTACTATCTATTCGAAATCTATGGTTGGTGTAATTAAATTAAAGAAAGAAATTACTGTTTGAGAATTGTGCTTTATTTGTAAAAAGTCCCATTACTCTGACCTATAGGTGGAAAAATCTCGACAAATTTCCACTGTCGCCCTAACCTTTACCGACGACTACATATTGATTATCAGATCTAATCGTGCTCTTTCCAGAGACCATGCTATGTTAATTTTTTATCATACTTGGGATTAAAAAGGAGCGGGCGGATTTGAACCACGGACCTCTTGATCTGCAGTCGAATGATCTGCCATTGCGCTATACTCCCGACTATCTTCTCCAGGAATTATGTAATACACAAATTCTTTTGATCTACTACTCATCTTATTAATATTCGTCTAGTAAAATTGTTCTTTTCTTTATTCGTTTCCCTAACGTAATGTCATAATATTTTGACCAAACCTTACATATTCGGAGATTGCGTAGTCGGCAGGATTTCAACCTGCGCGGGAATATCCCAACAGATTTCAAGTCTGTCGCCTTAACCACTCGGTCACGACTACAAACTGTAAACTGCCATTGATCTGGACGTTTTGGAAAAAAGAACTATTTTTATTCATTATTCAGATCTGGGTGGAAAAATCTCAACAGATTTCCGCTGTCTCACTAAACTCTACGCAGGACTACCAAGTGATGATATCTTTTTATCATATTTGGGAATCAAAAGGAATCTGCGGATTTGATCGGTCCACCTCTCGATCTGCTGTCGAATGCTCTTCCATTTTTCTATACTCCCGACTTTCTTCTCCTCGAATTATCTAATACCAAATTATTTACATTTGCTATTCTTGTTAATATTCATCTCGCAAAACTGTGACTTTTTTTATTCCTGCACCAAACGTAAATAAAATTTTGACCTTATCTATCTTCGTAGATTACGTAGTCGTCAGAATTTGAACCTGGGCGGGATAATCCCAACAGATTTCTAGTCTGTCGCCTTAACCACTCGGCCACGACTACAAACTGGGGATTCCGTTCGATGCGGACGTTTTCCTGAAAACAACTATTTTATTTGTTAGAACTTACACCACTATCTATTGGAAATCTATGGATGGCGCAGTTAAATTAAAGAAAGAAATTACTGTTTGAGAATTGTACTTTATTTGTAAAAAGTCCCATTACTCAGACCTATAGGTGGAAAAATCTGGACAAATTTCCACTGTCGCACTAACCCTTACCCACGACTACATAGTGATTATCAGATCTAATCGTGCTCTTTCCGGAGACCATGCTATGTTAATTTTTATCATACTTGGGATTAAAAAGGAGCGGGCGGATTTGAACCACCGACCTCTCGATCTGCAGTCGAATGCTCTGCCACTGAGCTACACTCCCGACTTTCTTCTCCAGGAATTATGTAATACACAAATTCTTTTGACCTACTACTCCTCTTATTAATATTCATCAAGCAAAATTGTTCTTTTATTTATTCCTTTCCCTAACGTAATGTCATAATATTTTGACCAAACCTTATATATTCGGAGATTGCGTAGTCGGCAGGATTTGAACCTGCGCGGGAATATCCCAACAGATTTCGAGTCTGCCGCCTTAACGACTCGGCCACGACTACAAACTGTCAACTACCATTGATCTGCACGTTTTGGAAAAAAGAACTATTTTTCTTCGTTATTCAGACCTGGGTGGAAAAATATCAGATTTCCACTGTCTCACTAAACTCTACGCAGGACTACCAAGCGATTAGATCTTTTATCATATTTGGGAATCAAAAGGAATCTGCGGATTTGATCGGTCCACCTCTCGATCTGCAGTCGAATGCTCTTCAATGTTTCTATACTCCCGACTTTCTTCTCCACGAATTATTTAATACCAAATTATTTACATTTTGTACCCTTTTTGTTAATATTCATCTCGCAAAATTGTGCTTTTCTTTATTCCTTCACCTTGTCTATCTTCGTAGATAGATAGATAGATAGATAGATTGTTTGTTTAATAAGATTAACACATAGCAGCCAAGAGGCTGATTGCGTGCTAAATTTTACAAGAGAAATGATTAAATTAGTTATTCTATATTTACAGAAGTTTAAAATTACATTACAATTGATAATTCTATACAGAAGTTTAAAGTTACATTACAAATTAGCTATGAAACTAGTAAATTTCTAAAAAAATGTTAGCCAGTCTAAAACTGAATATCAGAATCGATTGTCAGTTAATATTATTGATATGCCTTGCAGATGAAGGGAAAAAACTGTTTCTAAAACTGGTGATTTCATTAAACAGTTTCTCGCATGCATCCACACGCTAGTCACTTAATGGTTTGATGCCCGATTTTTGTAAACAATCCGCATAACCTGTCAGTGGATAGATGATTGATAAAACACGCTTTTGAACCCGTTCCAGGGCATTAGATAAGTAGGAAGGAAGGGCGAAGTGGAAAACTTGACAGCTGAATTCCATGACTGGTCTGACGCAGGTAGGGTAAAAATTTATTATGTCAGCTTCAGGTACATGAGCACGTTTCAACTGAATAATAAAATAAATCCGTTTGTTCGCCTTCTTAACTATGTTAGTTATGTGTTGGTTCCATTTTAGCTCTTTAGAAATTGTCAAACCTAGGATTCTTGCGTGGTTCACTGTCTCGATTTGGCCTGAGATGATCTTAAGGCGCGGAAATTCTTTCTCAGGTTTTGTAAAACTGATAACAAGTTCCTTGCACTTGGAGGTATTTAATTGCATCTTGTTTTCTACAAACCAATTTTGAACACAATCGACTGTATCTTGAATTTTACTGGGTGTGTTGATGTAAATAATTTCAGATACCGTAGCATCATCGATGTATTTCCATCGCTCATGATGTGGGGGGCGTAGGTCATTTATCATTAGGATGAATAACCAAGGTCCCAATTTGGTTCCTTGAGGGACACCGGAAGGAATGTCAATCCATTCAGACATGCAGTCTCTTGCAAGTTTCACCCGTTGTTGCCTGTTCATCAAAAAGTCAATTACCCACCGCTTAATGAAATTTGGCATTGGCAATTGGATGATTTTCGTGGCTAAGATCTTATGATCAATCAAGTCGAAGGCCTTCTTATAGTCAAAAAGAACCACTCTTACAGCGTTTCCAGTTCCATCTGTGGCTTGAGTCCACGCATGAACCATAGAAATTAAGGCTTTTGTAGCAGATGATCGAGGGATGCCACCAAATTGAAAAGGATCAATTGACGACAACACTGCTGGAGCGATATATTTTTCAACAACAAACTCTTCTGCAAGTTTAGACAGAACCGGGGTTAACGAAATAGGTCGGAGCTGTTTGCTTATGTCTTTAACAGGTTTCTCTTTCGGAATAGGTGTAATGTTAGCTTGTTTCCAGCATGAGGGCAGTCTTTTTTGCTTGTAGGACGAATTCAATAAGTCCGATACAGAGGGAGCAAGGATTTCGGCATAATCACGAAGAATCCAATTGGGGATATCATCAGGACCTGGAGCTTTATGCGGGTTCAAGCTTTTCAGTTTTTTCAAGACCGATGCAGTATTTGTCAAATTCATGTTTACATCTAACGGATAATCAGGAATCTCCTCAAACAAGGTGTTCAAATCTGTAACATTTAAGGGATCATAAGTATTCATTGGTTCTATTAGGCTTTTGTTAATTAAATCTGCAAAACCTTTGTTTGTTAAATGTTCTGTATCTTCGACATAAAGTTGGTTAAGCAAACTGCCAGATACAGGTCTCATACCGGAGATACGTTTAACCTCTGTCCACCAAGATTTGGGGTTAGACTTTTTCAGATTAGCAACTTTTGAAGCAAAATAGTCTGCCCGGCAAGATTTTCTCATTCTATTCACTTTATTTCGGTAGAATTTGAAAAGAGTAGTGTCAGTATTAGATGAAAACGCACGTTGTCGAAACTTGATCAGCTGTTTCAATTTTTCGGTTATCCATGGGTTGTCGTTGCGATGGAATTTAACGTGTTTCTCAGGCATAAGGATGTCATAACCCGTCTTTATTGCGGAGCATAAGATATCACAATTCTTATCGCACGGTTCGGAGGAATCGATAAGTTGCCAGTCAAAGTTACTCAGATATCGACCAAGTTCTTTTTTGCGTGATTGACGTATGTCTCTTTTTATTACTGTCTTTCTACTTGTGGTTTCTGATGATGTTTTAACTTTGGGCTCAACCATTATCACATTATGGTCTGATAATCCGAAAGGAGGGAAAACCATGGCTGGTTGTACATCGTAAAATTTATGCATGTTTGTAAGTATAATTAAGATCCAAAATCTTGGCACCACGAGTTGGTTTATCAACCAATTGTTTTAACTGAAAATCTCGGCAAAGATCTTTAGTGTCAAAGTGGTTAAAATCACCAGCAATAATAATTCCACAGCCTGGAAAAAGACTTTCCAGTAGTGTCAGTGAGTCTGATAGGTATTGAAAAAGATCTGTATTGCTGGAACTTGGAGGATGGTTGACGCACGCAGAAACAATGCCGTTAATTCCCCTTGGTAATCTTGGTGGTCTAATGTGTGTCCATAAAACCTCAAAGTCTAAATGTTCAATTTCAGGTAATCGTTTGAAACGGATGGAATTCTTTATGTACATGCATGCAGACACCACCGTGGATACCAAGACTACGATCCCGCCTCACGAGGTGGTAATCAAATAAAGTCGCGTGGGTGTCACAAACGGACTCTCGCAGCCAAGTTTCAGTTATAAAACCCAAATCAAAACTTTGTGCAGAGGTCAAAATACGTAGCTCGTCAAGCTTAGGAACTAGAGACATGACATTGGTTAGCATAATTTTTGGAACGAATTCAGTTCTTGGAGAATGAGTTTTGGTAATAGGAATTTTAACAAGGTTACTGAGATTTCGAGTACACATTGGTTTGAGTCGGCCGAAATGCTGTCTTCTAGACCTTCCCATACCGTGTACTGTAGAAATGTTTTGCAAGGGTGTCTCCGCCATTATACAAGGGTTGAGTAGCTCCCATTCTGGGTCGAGTTTATTTTCTTCTGAGTTGTGTTTATTCGTAACCTCGGGTATATAAACTGATGTGGTGAGTGATGTGGCCAGTTTTTCATGACATCTGGCGCCATTGTGTGTGTTTTATAGCGTGTTGCCTGTCAGTTGCTGATGTTGTTAAAAAAAATTTTACTTCCTTTCTTTCTAACGGTATGAAAAGTAACATTTTTACAGGATTACGGCAAGCCCACATTTTATGCTTTTAACTTTGAATCAACAAATTCTTCTCGAATCTGCAGGATTATATGCTTAATAATATGCATAAAAATATTGCTTCGACTGTGATTGGTTGATTTGAGTGCAGTTAATCCCAAACAGCAGTGCAATTTTCTGTAATCACAGTGCAATTTTCTGTAATAACAGTGCAATTTTCTGTAATCACAGTGTAATTTTCTGTAACCACAGCGCAATTTTTTGTTGGAGGAAAAACAATATGATGATAAAATCAACCAATAAGTTTAGGGCAGTTTATTTTACGGCCCACAGATTGCTTCAAAACAAAACAAACATGGCGCTGCGCTACATAAAGTAAAAGTTGACTTCGGTTGGAAAATATGGCTTTTATCTTTTTTTTAACTGATGTAAAAGCTTTCACCTATAAACAAGACTAACAAAACTTACATAGTTGAATGGAATTTCCAGCTGTTAGCGTTGTGTAATATCATATAATAAAGCCAGGAAAACTTTGCCAGTGGAATGTTCGCTATTTAAAACGTAAATTAAAACTACAATTGTCTCGAACATTTTTATGTAAATTATTAATAAGCAATAGCATAGTTTCTCTTGAAATTTAGATGAACATGCACTCGTGAGTTTTTCAAAGACCTCAAATAGCACTCGTCCTTAGGACTCGTGCTATTTCAGTCGTGCATGTTATATCCAAATTGCACTCGAACGTCCGAAACCATGCTATTCCCTATACTAATAGCACTGCTTTTGTTAATATATTTAAATTAAGATAAAATATTTCATGGGGCCGGTTGGTCAAAGCTGCATGGGTTACCTTAACCCTAGGTTAACCTAAAATTCAAAGCGAACTTCCTCACAGCTTGTTTATAAACTTGCAAATATTTCTTCAGAGATCTTGTCTGGATCAATAGGAGTTTACTTCTCTGAAGTTTTGAAATAAACAGACGTGCAGAAATACATAAACTAAAACAGCAGGTTAAACTTTGAACCCAGAGTTAGCGCTAACCTACCTTTGAACAACCGGCCCCTGCTGTATACTGCTCCGTATGTTTGAAATTGCATTATATATATTACACTTGCAGCAAAAATTGATCAATGAATGCATATCTTGAAAAAACATTTATTAAAATATTTGTTTTGCATGTCAAGCATATAATTAAGTAAGAAAGTTATAAATATTTAAAGTAAAAAATTCTTTCGTTATTTCGACAAAATCAGTTGACGATTTCTATATTAATATCTTCTGATTTGTCTCTCAGTGCATATTTACAAAGTTTTTCTGACTGTGTTGCCAACAAAATATTTAACGGGTGGTGTAAATAGCGAGCAACATTTGACATTTGATATAGTTAATATTAAGTTCTGTTATGGTTTATATAGACATTTAAGTGATGACATTTTTGAGTGACATTATAGGCGTTAGTTGTATCAGTATTTTGTAAGAGAGACACGCGAGAGTAAAGGGACGGTTTAAAGGACGCATAGTTAGAGAGATTAACGTAAAGTTGTATGTTTGAGTCAAGCCCTACATGGATCTACCTTTCAGGTACAGATGTTTAATTGTTTTATATGTTATATTTGTAGTATTTTGTTATTAGTCAATTTTACCATGTTATGTCGCGAAAATATGATTGGAATGCATGTGTTTTAGCCTTTATACTTATACTAGGTAACTTTAATTTTGTATAGAATATATTATCTCATTAAATATTAAAAGAAATCCCTGTTCGACTCAGTAAACCAGTCAGTCAGTGCCAACCAACTTCTGAAGGTTATGTGTGCCGATTAGCAGGCAAAGGCGAGTGTTGGTACAAGTAATTTGAGAATCAAAGACGATAGTTTTGCGTGACATTGAATAATTGAACATTGAAAATTGCGAAATGGTCGAACCAGGAGTACAAATAACCGGCCTTAGTTCAGAAAATGCTGACCCAGAGCGACAAGTCGCAAATTAAAAGTAAACGCCGACAACTTAGAGCTCGAATCACTCGTTCTATAAAACGTATTAGGGAATTTATTGAACAAAACAATCACAATAAAACACGATTTGATAAAGAGATGGCAGAATTGAGGCGCGATTTTGAAAGCGCACGGGAGTTCCACACGCAATTATATGATTTCGCAGACGAATCCCAATTACCAACGATGGACAAGTGGGAAAACGATCTAACGAACGATGTTTATTCGATCGAAGAAGAAACTGAACTTTATTTAAGTACGATTTCGTTGCCCGAGGCATCACAAACCTCGCAAATCCAAAGTACCTCGCAAAATATGCAAAGTATGCAGACTCTCACTGAGCCTGAGATTGAACCTGAGACTATACCTGTGTCAAGTATTGAAAATAACCCAGCAAACGAAATAACTGAAGCCCCACAAGTCTCTCCCATTTCAGTAGAATCTGGTCAAAATACAATAAATACGAATTTATCCTCCCCAACAACACCTCGCCCCTTTGACGCATGGATAGACGATTTGGTAGAGTTTAAAGTGTATATGAAATGAAAATTTCGATATCGGGTTTTTTGCATTTTCTGAAAATTTGGTCTTTTCCGATCATAAAAATACAAACCTTGTTGAAAAATTCGAACCAGAAGTTTGTTAATTTTACGATTAAAGTTCGCTTTTTCGACTATCTACTGGCGAAATTCCTGACATTCCATCGCGCGGCCAGTGACGTATGCAGTATGACACAGTGCGACCTTTCGATATGTAAACACTATGAAAATTATAGCTTCGTCTGGGTAGAATTGGGTTTTTGAGAGATTTTGAAGAAAATTGAAACGAATCCACTTTCTGTAGACTTCGCTTTCAATCTATAGATACAATATAATTACAACATGACGAGTTGTAGCGTATAAGCGGCCGAAAATTAAAATTAAAATGCAAATTCGATGAGACAAGAGACTATATCTACGTTGTAGGTTTCAGACCGCATATTATGTAGATAGGCTTAGGCTATAGCTGATATTAATTATGGCAAACATTGTAGTAACTAGTGTAAGCATAACATGGAAATTAATACTAAATATCTACATTTACTGACATACCATAGCATGAGCATGGACCATTCCAAAACTAACAAATTTTGAATTGCATATATATATATATATATATAGCATGGTAAAATACGATAGGGTATTAAAAAGGACTTTACTTATAATATAGCTGCTTCTAATGATGGGCTCTACTTCAGTACTTCATTATATTCTTTCACTCACAACCGTTCGTTAAGTTCACATTGAGAATCTATTACATGTAGTTGCGTGTTTTTGTACACGAAATAGACCAGAATTTGAGCCTCTAGAAAACCTCGGCAAGAAACGCGTGCATGTTTTGCGCGACAGGCTGATAGCGCGTCTACCGACGTGACGAAACTCACACCAGCACTCGCACGCAATCTTGTTTGCATCTGTACTATATCTACTGTAACCCTATAAAGCAGTGCAGTCAGTTTTTATGCATTTACTATGCATGCTGGAAGTGGTCTGCAATTCTCCCATCCCAGCATGCCACTACTGCTCGAAGATATCTAATTAATCAAACAGTGAGTCGTTAATTTCATGTTTGCAAATACTACTAAAGAAGTTACTTATGTATGGTCGAAATATATATAAGATTTGCCTACCAAAACCCAAGGCTAAGTCAAATCACTGTTATTACCCATTAGTTATTACCCATTACCCAAAGATAAATTACAGACATACTGTATAACAAAGAATACAAGATATCGTTTAGAATACAAATATATACAAGAAATAGTGATATTTAATTATCTTGGGTTCTGCTTGTTGGCTTATGATACTTTTTCCCTGACTTTATATTAGAGAAAAGCCCCTGCGTCTCTAGTAGGCTACTGTTCGATGGGTGACGACTATTATCATATTACAACATATAGGCTAACATAACACTAATCTTGCAGAACTAGTATGGTTCCATGCTGAATTAATATAAACGAGTATGTTTATGACATTCAGTATATAGTTCATAATTTTCAGTCTTAATCAGTAAATCCGTCTGACCGTGTAGCTCAGTTGGTAGAGCGTCGATCTAGTAATTCGAAGGTCGCGGGTTCAAGACCCAGCCGCGGCAGACAATATCTTTCTGCTTGGCCAGTTGCGCGGGTATGGAAATTATGAAATACACACTCGAGAACATTTTCAACTTTTCAACTTAGTGCATAATCCCAGTGCTGTGTGATGCATTCTGCGTCCTTGTCCTCGAACGTAAATTTGTCAATGCACTCCAAAATTTCCTTACAGCATCTATATTCTCTAGCGTCCTGCAATAATTCGTCACTACAATGTCCACATGAGCACCTTAAAATAAACTCGCATATCAGACGAAACAGGGTAATAAATAGTCGAGGAACGGGTTAATATAATATTACTTTTATGACTTTACTTACCATGAATTAACAGCTACATTTTTCTTAAATCTCGCCTCAAGAGTATCATGAAGAATGCCGTCTTCGTCCGTTTGGTCTTCCTCGTAGTCACTATATGCGACTAGCTCAAATTGATATGGCTGAACAACAGACGATTGCTCAGCGATGTCCTCATTACCTGTTGACCCTTCTGTCTCTGTCTGTGATTCAAAGCTTTCGTTATCGGACATTTTTATAGCGAAATATAAAGGCAACTGTCTGATGTTCGTGTTATTTTGTTGTTTTCGTATAGTGAAACACTTCGGCGTGTCATACTGCATACGTCACAAGGCCCGGAACTCTAGGTACCAGTCTTTCGCCAGTAGATAGTCGAAAAAGTGAACTTTAATCGTAAAATTAACAAACTCCTGGTTCGAATTTTTCAACAAGGTTTGTATTTTTATGATCGCAAAAGACCAAATTTTCAGAAAATGCAAAAAACCCGATATCGAAATTTTCATTTCATATACACTTTAGCCCAAATCATCTCAAAGTGTTTCTGTAGCTGACGCACTTTATAAACTAGAAGCGAGTAAAGATATACCGACCATTAAACTTCCCACTATTCAAAGGAAACGCGCTCTTCTATGCCGATTTTATTGATCGATTCAAGATTCATATTCATGACAAACCGCACTTGACAGATGACATGCAAATGATTCAATTAAAAATGCACGTTACCGGAGACGCAGAACGCGCGATTTCGGGACTTGGGTCCAAGGGTGTTATATATGCGAGTGCGACAGCATTAAAGATTTTAAAGGAACAATTTGGACAGCCAAGTACCATAGCTCGTTCTTTGGTAAATCAACTTACCAAGGGAGACAAGATTCAACGTAACGATAGAAGCGCGCTTCGAGAATTTTCCATAGACTTAGTTAATTGCGTAGCAACCATGCACCAAGTCAAGTACTTCGCTGACGTCAATGCCAGTGACAATCTCCGAAAGATAGTAATGAGATTACCGGATTATTTCGTTCAGAAATGGAAAGGCGTAGTAATAGATATTAGAGAGAAACAAAGATCTCCTACGATTTCCTACGACCGTTTTAAGTGTCCCACGTTTGGATCGTCCGTGGTTGAAATAATTTGCATACCTTCGAAACATCGACTTCTCGCATAAAGCTGGTCCAATTGATCTTATCTTAAGTGTCCAGTTCAGTCATTTGCACGCAGAAGATGAAGTACGTCAAGGCCGTCAATTTGAGCCTGTTGGGGGAAAAAACAAAGCTAGGATGGTTTGTCATCGGTTCTGATAGTTCACAGAAAACGTCCAAAGTATGTTCAATAAGTTTTGTCCAACCCGTCAACCTAGAGAAATTCTACGAGTTTGAAACCCTCGGAATCCAAGCCCCCCAATGTCATTGTCCACAGATAGCTATGTCATCTGACGACAGAAGAGCCATCAAGTTAATGGAGAACTCCTGTAAGCAGCAAGGAGGGAGATATGTCATTGGACTTCCTTGGAAGAAAGATAACAATCTTTTGCCTAACAATTATTGTCTCGCTGAGAAAAGATTGTTTTCTCTGGAAAGAAGCCTGAAAAGAAACGATGTTAAGCTAAGGCTAGTCTGTACAACCAAGTTATTAATGAGTACGAGAGAAACGATTGGTCGTGTCAGTTGTCACAAGAAGAAGTAGAGGCCAAAGATAAACCAAAATATTACCTGCTTCATCACGGAGTTTATCGACCAGAGAAGAAAAGTACGCCTTTGAGAGTAGTATTCGACCCTGCCTGCCAATATCAAGGAGTATCATTGAATTCGTTTCTCTACAAAGGTCCTTGTCTTATTGGAAATCTACTTGGAGTGTTATTGCGCTTTAGAGAAGATCTTGTTGGCCTTGTTGGCGATATATCGAAGATGTATTTGCAGATTTGCCTGCCCGAAGAAGACACGCTTGTCCACCGATACTTATGGAGAGATTTAGATGAAAGTCGAGACCCGACAGTTTATTACGCACTCCAAAGAGTCATGTTCGGAGATAAACCATCGCAAGTTATGTTATGATCAAGATTGCGTATGAGAATGAGTCCAATGTCCTCGAGCTGCCGTGATTCTCAAACGTGATCGATACATGGATGATCTTATTCATTCAACAAACACGCAGGAAGAAGCAGAAAAGTCCAAAGGCGAAGTCGACGACGTGTTAGCTACGGGGAGTTTTAAGATAAAGGAATTAATGGTTTGTTTCGTCTTCCGTTCAAGAAATGCAAGCTGAGAACGTTTCTAGTCCTGAAGAAGAAAATCCTGATTTCAAAGATAACGTGATAGGTGTAAATAGTGAATGTACAACGACAAAGAATGTCAACCTACACTGCGAAGAAGGAGTCAAAACCTTAGGAGTCAATTGGAATCCACAGACTGACAAATTCAGTTTCTCAGTAAAGGAAATAAAGATAGAAACGTTAACGAAGAGAACAGTTCTGTCGAGAATTTCACGTTTGTTTGATCCACGTACTTGGATTGGCTTCTGTAGTAACTATCAAAGCAAGAGTCGCTCTCCAAGAAATCTGGAAAGCAACGAAGTATGACTGGGACGACCCACTGCCTGAAGAAATACGCACTTTATGGTACAAACTTTTCCGAGAATTGGAAAGTTTAAACTCGATTACAATTTCGCGTTGTTTACGTCCTGATAAAATTTGTGGTTCATCCGAGTTGCATGTATTCGCTGATGCCAGTGCCACAGCTTATAGAGCGGTTGCATATCTGCTCTGGCCCACCACAGAAAGTCCTAAAGTTAATCTCATCGCCTCAAGAAAAGAGTTGTTCCTTACGTCCACGGTTAGAGCTTATGGCAGCACTGGTTGCTTCAAGATTGGCAAGTACCATTTACAACGAGTTTAAAGCGAAGCCAGATGTAGTTAAACTGTGGTCCTATTCGAAGATCGTTTTGCATTGGTTACGATCCGATTCTGCATTGTTGAAGGCATTCGTTGGAGTTCGGGCAGTTGAAATCCAGTCAACATGGGAATCAAGTCATTGGCGTTATGTTCCTTCTGGTCTGAATCCTGCCGACGATTTAAGTCGAGGAACTGATGTTAAAAATATGTATGATCGTTGGTTCCAAGGACCGGCGTTCCTGCAATTGCCAAACAGCGAGAGGCCAAGCGAAAGTGTGGAGACCATTCAGAATCATCCAGAAAGAAAGAAATCCAAAATCCTGGGGAGTTTCAATCCTGATGTCCCGTGCATAGATCCAAAAATCTTTTCAAATTGGCAACGATTGGTCAGAATTACAGCTTACTATACAAGCGTTACGATCCCAACGACTTACAACCCCTTACCCATAACCTTACCCTTTGTAAGAGAGACACGCGAGAGTAAAGAGACGGTTTAAAGGACGGATAGTTAGAGAGATTAACGCAAAGTTGAATGTTTGAGTCAAGTCCTACAGGGATCTACCCTTCAGGGAGAAATGTTTAATTGTTTTATATGTTATATATATATTTGTAGTATTTTGTTATTAGTCAATTTTACCATGTTATGTCGCGAAAATATGATTGGAATGCATGTGTCTTTATACTTGTACTAGGTAACTTTCATTTTGTATAGAATACATTATCTCATTAAATATTAAAAGAAATCCCTGTTCGTCTCAATAAACCAGTCAGTACCAACCAACGGGTGACCTTCATTTTTCATTTTGTTCATATATCGATATGTAATAGATTGGTTACTCCTACAATTAGTGTAGATAAACACATGACTACAATACATGGAAGAGAACATATAAACACTTTGTTCATTGTTAAATGGAAATCGCGTTTACGTTTAAATATAGACCAATCACTCAACCAATCAATCAAGAAAAGAATTTATATTAGCTTTATATTAATATAATTAGCAAAACAATCCGGGAGGTTGCAATTTCAATCGGGCATAGGAAAAAACATGCACGCACTGGACTCATATAGACTCAAAATTCGACTGAAAAAATTTTCATAGGCTTGATTTCAATGTGAAAATTCGCAAGAAACATTCATAAAACAATCGCGCGCGCGTGGTTGGCATGTCTCCCGACAACTTATCCTTTACTAGTTAATTAAATACGCCTTCGCCCATTTAGTACTACTAAATTGTAAATTTCGACATACTAAAACGCTGTTTTCTGACCATCAGAACTCTGTCAAATCTTCCCCAAAATCCAAGAAATGGTATTTCAGAGACTGGCTAAATTTAAGATTTTCCTCGGTCCTTTGGCCCTCGATCGCTTTCAGCCACCCCAATCAAAATGAGCTTCTTACGGCACTGGTTAATGTGTCGCTGAATGACTGATTGTGAATACTTTATTCCTAATATACCGTTGTTATACCTTTTATTCAATTTAACGTTTGTTGTATTTGCAGTTTTACAATTAAACAAAACTAATTGGGTGCGCCTATGTGTACGTACTTTGTTTCCTGCTTTTCAGTTTTTATCTTGTTTGAAGTGGCCCCTCCTCATTTTTTTGGATATTAATGAGTATGAAAGTCCAGAGAGGCTAACATTTAAACAACAGAGAGCGACGACATCAACTGATCATCTGAGCGTATGCGTTCCTTTTGGCTTCCGGTTGACTGAGTTGGAGTTTTGGTGGTGAGTCGGGTGTCGTGGGTAATATGTCTTACGTGGTGGATAAAAAGTAGTGCATCGTGGATATCATTATGATTTATTTTTTTATTTATTTTCTGATTCGCCCAAGATGTTGGAATTACACATAAAAGAAATAAAGTATTCACAAGAGATGGGCTATATATAAGGGCTATATATATGCCATATGGCTTTTGTTTTAGGCCCCTATAGGTTATAAATTTAAACTAATTAGCAGAATAATATGCAGCATCTGCTATCAGTTCGCGTGCTTTTAGGAGAAAGGAAAAATAATAGTTAAATATTATATAATATGATAGTAAGCTATATTTACAATTCAATTTTTGATTTATAATTTTCCTATACTTACAGGAATATGTTATTCTATTAAATTTAGATCTGAGAAGTACTTTGATGATGTCTCTTCAATGTAAGGTTTGGAGATAAATCTGCAACATATATTACTAGGGCCTGTTAACAAATTATGTTATGGAATTTACGCATGTAAGATGGCGACTTCAGGCATTGGCTAAACAAACAGTTTGACTAAATGATTGTATGGAAATCTTGTCTTGTATTTACTTTCGTTGAAATTTAGTACAGTACAGTTTTGAACGAGTGAAAGAGAGCTTTAACCTTCCGAGCAATTTGATGAAAATATGAAGCACTTGCAGAGGCGCTAAAGAATCTTCCTTGAAAAAATTCGGCGGCATGCATGCAACTGTGCAGTCTGGCTCGATTCACTTTAAACATGGATAAAATACACTGGTATTGTTTAATTCACAACGTCCTTTCTGACCATAGCGTCAAAGTGTCAAACCCCCAAACTATTGATAAGTAAATAAAAGTAAATTATTCACTTACGTTGACCAGGAGAGGAGAAATGCACATGAAAGGAGAAAAAATATTGCCGTGTCCATCTTCGAAATGAACTTTAATTCTAGATCTGTTGGCTTTGCTCGTCAACACCCTATATATTCAGCCAACTGGAACTAATACAATACGATTGACGGAATTCATGGTAATACGATAGTAATATTCTGTCAACATGGCTGAACGCAAACTAGCGGACGCGGATCGGCGGACGCAGACTGGCAGACGCGGACTGGCGGGAAAAAGTTTAATATCATTGAAAATAACTTTAAAAATAAATAAATATAATAATATTAATAATATTATTAATATTATAGTTAATATTAATAATATTAATAAAATCGTTTTTCTTCTTCACATTATGTGACAACCGAATTCAATAATTGTTAAATATGCTTGTGATGTTACTCTGAGTGTATATCCACACCGGGCAAGCTTGAAAAATATGCCTGACCACGGTGGGAATCGAACCTACGACCTTTGGAATGCTAGCCCAATGCTCTGCCAACTGAGCTACGTGGTCTGATCGGTTCGAGTATATGATATTTCGGAACAGAATCTAGTTCCTTTGATATCAATGTAATCTAGTAATAATGATATTTTCTGTGTTGGTGCAATGTACTCAGGTGAATAAGATGCTTGTGATGTTACTCTGAGTGTATATCCACACCGGGCAAGCTTGAAAAATATGCCTGACCACGGTGGGAATCGAATTCTGTTCCCAAATATCACATACTCGAACCGACCAGACCACGTAGCTCAGTTGGCAGAGCATTGGGCTAGCATCCAAAGGTCGTAGGTTCGATTCCCACCGTGGTCAGGCATATTTTTCAAGCTTGCCCGGTGTGGATATACACTCAGAGTAACATCACAAGCATCTTATTCACCTGAGTACATTGCACCAACACAGAAAATATCATTATTACTAGATTACATTGATATCAAAGGAACTAGATTCTGTTCCGAAATATCATATACTCGAACCGATCAGACCACGTAGCTCAGTTGGCAGAGCATTGGGCTAGCATTCCAAAGGTCGTAGGTTCGATTCCCACCGTGGTCAGGCATATTTTTCAAGCTTGCCCGGTGTGGATATACACTCAGAGTAACATCACAAGCATCTTATTAACCTGAGTACATTGCACCAACACAGAAAATATCAATTGTTAAATAATTTCACAATCACGTGTCATGTGTTGACACCACGCGCTTTCATATAAAAAGATTCATTCATACAGGATCAAATATTTTAAAAGGAAAATTCCAAACACATGGTATTTGCTTAGTTATTCCACAAAATATTCCCGACTTAGTGGATAGCGTTTGACAAGAAGTGCATAAATGAGGAAGTCAGGAAGATACGGGTCGCGAGACGGGACGTGTGATCATGACATGGCTTCATTGTCTGTCAGTGCAGAAAAAGCAAATTTGACGTGCCATCTTCTTCAAACAGTCAAACGTGTTTTCAGGAAGGCCCAATCGCTATTGTCGAAAGAGAATGCCATTGTTCCAGCACCAGGAAGCAATGACATGGCCTTCATGGTCAGTGGCGTAACGCAACCGCTGGGGGCCCTCCGTCAATCGGCCACTTTGGGCCCCTTTGCTCCACTAAAAATAGGCTGTCGCCAAAAAATCGGACATTGTACCATTTTTCCATTCGGACATTGTACCATTTTCGGACATTGTACCATTTTAGGGGTCCAAAAATTTTTCCGGACATACCCAATGAAATTGCAATTAATTCATTCTAGTATCTCGTCCTTTACCTCAGCCGTGACGTACTAAATCCGTCGCAGCTTCGGGAAATTTCTCGACGGATTTTGCCTTTTCCAGAGAATGGTTTTTTTTTATTCAATTCAATTAATTCAATTCCCCAGAAATGTGTTATCAAATTTTTTAAGGTCATTTTTGTCGGGGGCCCCTAAAGTTCGGGGGCCCCCCGTCACTGGACACCCTGACACCCTCCCGTTACGCCACTGTTCATGGTCGAAAAGCAAACTTCTAAACGGCCCCACTACGTTTATTTAGAAAAGAATGGAAAAGTGACATGCGAAAACTGCATGATGGTCGTCTGCCAAATTGTGCAAACATACCGTGGCTGTAGCAGAGGAGGTTAAGGCGTCAAAACACACCTCACAATCTCACCACTTTGGTAACTATTGATTCTGGTAAAGGCGTTGTAAAGAAAAGAAACAAGGCGGCAAAGTGGCCAACAAAGGGTGGGCGAAGTGGTAAGAAGTGTCAAGAGGGCACTGTAGTTTTCGACAGGCTCAACCACCACCAACAACAAGAGTAACAACAAGAGCAACATCAACAGCAACGGCAACAGCAACGACAGCGACAACGTCAACGACAACGTCAACAAAAACGACAACGACAACGACAATGGCAACACAACAACGACGACGACAGATTAACTGGAATACGATACGGTCAAAGCAAACCATACCACAATTTATACCAACACATCTGACCACAACAAACTTTACACCAACAACATTGTGACAACTCCCAGCCAACACGGCAACACCAACATTGTCTTAATATGAACAGCTCCCATCCACCTGCTTCTCCTGGTTGTCCTAATTCTCTGTTTAATTGGTTCATATATGTTGGCCTTCTACAATTTTGTCCACCTCAAGTGAATATCTATTTCGCATGTGGACAGGCCCTTAAATTAAACCTGGAGGAAATCGGAGGACCCCCTTGCGACTTTGTTATGGTATCAAAAACAAAGAGACAAGGACAACACAGAAACTAAAAGGAGCGAGCAGTAAACATCTATTTCCATGTCAATAGTGCTTGTTTAAAAAGACAGCATGCATATTTTGTAAAGTCATTTATGCGAACGCCGACAAGAATTAGGGAGATCGATGCTGACACCAGCTCACATTCTTCATCTAAGAGAGTTTGGTTTAATATAGTATAGAAAGTTATTATGCAACAATTATCCAAAACGCAAGTGGTTTTTTCTTGTTTTCCATGTATAAAGTTATGATTATTGATACAATATTGTTTTTAAAATTATTAAGGGACCATTGTTATGTTCATTTATTTATATAGTTTCGCAACATGAGAGCGCTTATATGACACTCTCGTTTTAATCGAACCAGTTGTTTCGTATCTCTTGAAGGTGATAATTGTACATTAGTTGCAAAAGTCAGTATATTCAGACTAATATGCGCTGCAAGCATATAACACAGAAACGTAGTCATTCTGTTCATGCGTTGCGTTAACAGTATAAAAACACCGCTGTAGGCAAAGTAAAAACGACGAACCGGAAAGTTGCAAATGATTGGGGCATTGGTTACAGGGTTTCAACTTACATATTTTATCAGTTAATTGGTAACTTCATGCACTTCAATTCCAGACAATGCACTCTCGCGCATTTTAACATTAGTTTTTATTCAAAACTTTACATATTCTATTCATACTTATTAATACAGTAACTTTCTTACACGTATTTATTCCATCCCCCGCCCCGACAACGCCACTGAAAGGATTCGAAAGCTGGTTTTTGTAAGATCTTAATCATCACGTACCATCACGCAACATCCTTTTGACAGCCGGTTTTTAATTATCCTGCGTATCAGTTTTCTTTCCAGTCGTCAATCGACTGCACGCAGACTGGCACTCATACGCTGATGGACTTTGATGAGCAGGCCATAACAGATGATGAGGAAATTGTCGACTGTCTCAATCAGTATTTTCTACAATTGGTTCCAAGTTGTCTGATAATATTATTGATAATGGCATTGATCCCCTGAGCTTTGTGACTCCTGTATATATTAAATCATTTCATATTAGAAAGATTGCAATACAAGTGGTACTAGATGCATTAAACCTGTTAAAACGTAAAAATCACCAGGCCTAGTCTAGACGGACTTAGTACAAGACTATTAAAAGATGCTGCTGCTCTTTATCGTTGTTGGGCCATTGCTTAACATTTTTAATTTATTTTTGCAAACGGCTATATTTCCCGACGACTGGAAGTTAGCTAACGTTTTTCCAATCTTTGAAGAAGAAAACAAAAGTGATTGCGAATATTACAGACCAATTTCTGTTATTTCTGTTGTTGCAGGAAATTAATTTATCAGCAGTCAAAAATTGGACTGGACCGTATAAGGGTTAGCTTACAATGGTTCAGGTCATACCTCAAGAATAGAAAGCAAGTTTGTTCAGCTATTGGTATGATGTCGTGTCGTCAGCAGAGAAATCAGATGTGGGTTCCCACAAGGTTCTAACCTTCGCCATATTCTATTTCTCTTGTTCACAAACGATCTTACAAATTGTTTGCAAATTAGGGACCGGAAATAAAGTAACTGCTAGGGTAGGCTGGAGTGATTTGGGATGGGCCATGGAAAATCTTTGGCCAGTTTCGATGGGCCGCCAATTTTTTTGTATGTCCACGGTTGGGCAACCAAACAAAAAGCCATGTTAATTATATATTACATAAAGATATTAATAATAAAAGTAAACAAAACTATCCAAATTATCAAATGCAAATGATGCTATTGAAGCCAACTGGTACTTTGTTTATTCAACAACAACAAGTGGTCAAATCACAGCAGGGGGTTAGCTTACAATGGTTCAGGTCATACCTCAAGAATAGAAAGCAAGTTTGTTCAGCTATTGGTATGATGTCGTCAGCAGAGAAATCAGATGTGGGCTCCCACAAGGTTCTAACCTTCGCCCTATTCTATTTCTCTTGTTCACAAACGATCTTACAAAGTGTTTGCAAATTTATACCAAAGCCAAACTATTTGCTGACGGCACAAATTTTACCTGCGTACGTAGGACCACGGGTAGGACAAAGTCCCGATGACATTGAGATAAAACTTAATAAGGACCTCGAGAACGTCAATGGCTGTCGACCAACAAATTGACGTTAGATAAAAAGAAAACTGAGTTCATGATAATTGACTCGAGATGTTATTGCCCTGCTTCAATTGTAAATAGCCCAGTTATAACCGTAGAAGAGAATAATATTAAACGTGTTTACAATAAAGAGTCCTTAGGAATTATTCTTGATGAGGAATTAAAGTGGCACAAACATAATGATGCACAATGCAAAGAAATCGAAAGAAAACATTGCCCTTCTCAAACAATCAAAGGCATGAGTTAATAAAAATGTACAATGCTTTTGTTTTGACTCACTTTAATTATTGCTCAACAATTTGGAACGATGGGTCCTGTCAGTCTGTAATGTCTGTTGTTGATAAGCTATCGAAGTTACAAAGGAGAGCTTATGATGTTCGTTCCAAAGAAATATTGCAAAATCTTAATTGGACACCAATTGAGCAATCTTTAACAAATCGAGAAATTTTATGATAATGACATTTAAAGCTCCAACTGGCAGGTTACCGAATTATCTTGCAGAACTATATACCAAATGTGAAAGCAATAGCTGTTCTCTAAGAAGCAACAATACTAAATTGAAACTCCCTAAACCTAAAACAAATTTTCTGACAAGAAGTTTCTCATACCGAGCTGCAAAATCATGGAACGTAGTGAAGTAACTAATAAATAATCTACAGCAAAAATCAATATATTCTTTCAAACGGCATTTACATGCACTAAATAATATTGTAAGATAGGTCTGCAGCATAAATATATTTTTATTAAGTAATTTACATAATATTGTTAAGAGAGTGTGTGCACGGCCCTTTAAAAAACAGTGTTGTATGTATGTTTAACTGAATAAGCTACCGTGTATAAAGAATTTTATTAAACTATTTTAATAGTTTAAAAACTTATAGAATACGCTTAAAATTTGTCATGTAGTTTGCCATGATACTATTTAGCATTATAATACAGTATATACCAGAAGTTAAAGTACCCACTAAGTCAAGAAGATATTTGCTGAATAACTATAAGCGAATACAATTTGTTTGGAAGTTTTCTTTTAAAATATTTGAATGAATAAATCTTTCTATGGAAAGCTCGTGCTGTCAACGCATGACACGTGATTGTAAGATTATTTTAACAATTATTAAATTCGGTTGTCGCATGATGTTAGTAGTAAAGTTTAGAAGAAGAAATGATTTTATTAATATTAATCTTATTAATACTAACTATAATATTAGTAATATTATTATGTTTATTTATTTTTAAAATTATTTTCAGTAATTTAAATTTTTTTCTGCTAGTCCGCGAGTCCGCGTCCGCCAGTCCGCGTTCGCCGATTCGCGTGCTTGGCATGTTGGACATGGTGTGATAGATTGTGATTAAATTATGAGCTGCTAAACAACGTGTTAGTGCAAGGCAAATAGTCTGATGTCAAGTGACTTCTAGTTAAGTTCCTAATTTCTAATTTGATGTCTGGGTGAGTGATTGTGATTAGATTAAGAACCGCACAACAGGAATGAATCTAATATCGATGGGAACACTTTATCCCAGAACCAAGGTCACAGGGTGTGCCAGAAGTGCTTACATTATGAGCTGCAAAACAGGAACAAAATCTTAATAAAAGTGTTTCATTTGCGGAAAAGATAATTGCTGTTGAAAAGCCTCAAATTTAATAAAATGCATATCCCCGCTGACACCGAAGGCATGCATGGGATGAAATTATTAGAGAGCGATTGCAGCGAAAGGAAAATTACTCCTAAAAAGCGTACGGTTTGAAAAAATCGTATGATTTTTAGCGCGATTTTTTTCGCATTTTAATTTTTTTGCTTCAGGAGTTTCTTTTTAATATTTTGTGATTTTTAATATTTTTCATGTGATTTTTTTGTGATTTTCTATGTTTTTTTGGCGTACGTGATTTAGATCATGATTTAAACCGTCAGTTGCATCCCTATCAATCTGAAGCTTTCTTAATATGGGCACTATATCACTGGCACTGACCGTTCAAGATTATCTCGCTGAGTAAAACAGAATGTTGAAGATGACACTAACCGGGCCAGTTAGGCTCAAAACCTCTTCTAATGAAATTAAATACTACTAATTTAACTCAACTAGAACAATAACTTTGACAATTTCAAAATATATGCAACCGTATGTCTATGTAATTTTGCATTTTCCTCGATAGAATAGCCTACAATGTTGAAGATGTTTTTTTATAGACTTCAATAAACAACTCAGTTATACTGTATATATCAACGTTCTAAAGCAGTGTAAGAGACATTCATAATTCCGACTGTTGGTGTATTCTTATTGCTATAATTTTTAGAGGGTGAACTGATTTACGTGGCAATGGCGGCATACGAGCGGCATCATGATATATAAACTACGTCGTAAAGTAAAGTAAAGTAAAGTAAAGTAAAGTAAAGTAAAGTAAAGTAAAGTAAAGTAAAGTAAAGTAAAGTAAAGTAAAGTAAAGTAAAGTAAAGTAAAGTAAAGTAAAGTAAAGTAAAGTAAAGTAAAGTAAAGTAAAGTAAAGTAAAGTAAAGTAAAGGAAAGTAAAGTAAAGTAAAGTAAAGTAAAGTAAAGTAAAGTAAAGTAAAGTAAAGTAAAGTAAAGTAAAGTAAAGTAAAGTAAAGTAAAGTAAAGTAAAGTAAAGTAAAGTAAAGTAAAGTAAAGTAAAGTAAAGTAAAGTAAAGTAAAGTAAAGTAAAGTAAAGTAAAGTAAAGTAAAGTAAAGTAAAGTAAAGTAAAGTAAAGTAAAGTAAAGTAAAGTAAAGTAAAGTAAAGTAAAGTAAAGTGAAGCTATATTTATCTGTCAACGATATCTAATCAATGGTATTATTATAAAGGCTTAATTATAGGGAATAGTTTGCATATTTCTTACAAATATATTACAATGTTGTTATAGGCCATGTTTTTACTCTGCATGTATAGCGTGTTTCGGGGGAAATGCGGTGAATGTATATATTGACCAGCCAAACATGGGGTAAATGTGTTGACCAGCCAATAAAAACTAGCTATTTGCCTACATCTTTTGATTGCGTAATTTATCAGCTTTCCATATATATATATAATAGTATTTCTGTTTTCATGGGCTATACATAGCGTAGCTATTTTTAACATGCCAATAACAAAAAGTAATAGACCTTTCCCCTTTTGAGTGAAATTTTGATCTAGATATATGCCTGGACAAACATTTCATCACAGCTTGAAAGAGCATCACAAAATTAAATTAGTCACATTCCGAAGTTTCGTTGCGAAATGTTGTAAAATGCGGATAATATAGCCTTGCGAATTTCGCCGTTTTGCTGAGTCATTTTGCATTACAAACGGGAAGTTGATAATCAGATGATCAAACTGATTATCAATTTCCCATTTGTAATACAAAATGACTGAAACACGGCAAACTTCGCAAGGCTATATATTGTCCGCATTTTACAACCGATTTCGCAACGAAACTTTGGAATATTACTAATTTTGTGATGCTCTTTCAAGCTGTGATGAAATAACATTGCCCATGGCATATCTAGATCAAAATTTCACTCATAAGGGGGGAAAGGTCTATTGGCTTACTAATAATTTTATCCTTTCAAGTCCACTTAAAATTTCCTGTCGGTTTTTGTTTTGAATGTGAACTTGATTGTCCTTCTGCGATCGTGAAGTCGAAAAACATGTTTTGTGAACGGCATCTGCAATTGTGAGATGTGCGCGCGTTTCCGGTTAACCCCAATATAACTCCAATTCATTGGCTAATGATACTATAGGGGATACACCAAATCTACGACGCGGACGTTGTTGAATGTTGTTGGTAAACAAAGCCAGAGTTAGAGACACGAGAAAAACAAAGCTAGTAAAACTAGTCTCCAATTATTAGTGACTGTTTTTTTAGTCGCGTCCGCGTCGCAGATTTGGTGCATCTAAGCATCTTAAGCTCCCTGTAATAGACTCCTTTGGTGCGCCGAAACGTTTGGCTAGCTCGTCGCCAAAAAGCAACAAGCAAGGGCAACCGGTTCCTTCGGTTTATTATATAGGCTGGAAAATTTTGGTTTTACTGTAACGCTGGTTTTATTTGCTTACAGCTAGTATTCGGCGTAGGGCACCCACCGTGGGGTCCAGAATGCCCAGTGCATCGATAGTATGTATGTCACAACGATGTTTTTGTGCTAGTAGGCGTTATCAGTAACTCACGAAATGTCTTTATCAAGCCAAATGTGGTTTTCTGGATATAGTCTAGGACCTGTATATGAGTTTGTATGCATTTCATTTAGGACAGATAATCTCAACTGTTTTAGGGTAAGTTGACCATGACGGTCAACATGGTAACGCTGCCCGAACCCCAATCCGGGGCGAAACGTCCGAAACTGACCACACCCAAAAACGACGCTTTCGCCATACTGCTATCTACCAAACCATAAAAGCTTTGGCTATTCTGAGGTGCTTATATGGTTCAGAGATGGTACTTTTGGGGGTGGTCATTGGTATGTGTGAAATGCCTAGCACTAATATTTCACAAGAAAATGGCCATGCAATAATCATAGTTAAACGTCAATTTGTGGCTTGCAAATTCAGATAAACAGCAGTGGACTTACATTACCTTTTTTCCTAAATCTTTTTGATAGAAACATAAATGGTACTTATTTAAATATATTATCACTGGTTTGGTGTAAAATAGTTAATATTTTCTGACCGAAATAATAATTTGAAATGGGCCTACCACCTGCAAATGCGTCGACGTATTTGGCCAAGTTCTCCTCTTTACTCCGCTGTTTACGGGCGATCTCGTTGACATCCTACATCCTGTAAATCATCTCAGACATAATGGTATCAAGAACATTTTAAACAAGTTTCAACTTGGTTTCAAGTAGGTCATACCTGTTTAACCATCGACAAGGTAAATCCATAACTTTGTCCAAATTCGGCGCCATTTTGTCATCCCATGTCGCTTGTTAACAGTTCAGCCTTGTTACTCTTCCATCCAAGCCGTTTCCATTCCACTAATAATAAATTTAACCCTTTATAACAGGAGGAAACTAAAAAATCTAAACAAAATACAAGAAATACGCCATTTTATCACGCTGTAAAATGTTGTTTACGAGTCCTTCAAAACATTTCGTACAAATCTCGCGTGGTTTAGCAACAGGAACGTGACAGGGGGGGGGGGCGTTAGAGACTTGTAAAATGAAAGGAAAGCCCACACAGTATGGTAAAACCAACAATCAACATTTAATTTGTATGTCTTTTTCATATTATTAAATAGTAATATGTATATATTTGTCGCTACAAGAAATAAAACAAACATTTGTATGATTGTATTTAGCTTTAGTCTATTTCACGCAGCCTTCTTCTATCTTCGTGAAATAATACACCCCCTCCTGTCACGTCCCTGTTACTTTGTCACGCGATATTTGTACGGAATGTTTTAAAAGACTCGTGAGCAAAATTTTACATGGTGATAAAATGGCGTATTTCTTATATTTTGTTTAGATTTTTAGTTTCCTCCTGTTATAAAGGGTTAAATTTATTATTAGTGGAATGGAAATGGCTTGGATGGAAGAGTAACAAGGCTGAATTGTTAACAAGCGACATGGGATGACAAAATGGCGCCGAATTTGGACAAAGTTGTGGATTTACCTTGTCGATGGTTAAACAGGTATGATCTACTTGAAACCAAGTTGAAACTTGTTTAAAATGTTCTTGATACCATTATGTCTGAGATGATTTACATTTTTTGTAGGATATCGACGAGATCGCTGATAAACAGCGGAGTAAAGTGGAGAACTTGGCCAAATACGTCCATTTGCAGGAGGTAGGCACATTTCAAATTATTATTTCGGTCAGAAAATATTAACTATTTTACACCAAACCAGTGATAATATATTTAAATAAGTACCATTTATGTTTCTATCAAAAAGATTTAGGGAAAAAGGTAATATAAGTCCACTGCTGTTTATCTGAATTTGCAAGCCACAAATTGACGTTTAACTATGATTATTGCATGGCCATTTTCTTGTGAAATATTAGTGCTAGGCATTTCACACTTACCAATGACCACCCCCAAAGTACCATCTCTGAACCATATAAGCACCTCAGAATAGCCAAAGCTTTTATGGTTTGGTAGATAGCAGTATGGCGAAAGCGTCGTTTTTGGGTGTGGTCAGTTTTGGATGTTTCGCCCCGGATTGGGGTTCGGGCAGCGTTACCATGTTGACCGTCATGGTCAACTTACCCTAAAACAGTTGAGATTATCTGTCCTAAATGAAATGCATACAAACTCATATACAGGTCCTAGACTAAAAATCGAGATGTCGTTCGGCTATACATAACTCGGCCGGAAACGGACTGGTGCGAGAAAAACAAATCGTCAAGAATAGTGTGCTGCCTTCGGCAGCAATAATAATAATAATGATGGTATTTATATAGCGCTTATACATTGCTGTCCTAAGCGTTGAGATTGCATGTTATAATGGATACAATACAAACATATTAAACAAATTCTGATTCAGTGATTCGATTAACATTCTGAAAACCTACCTTACTAGCTGAATTTTCTTGCCAAATTTGAAATTATTAGCTATGGTGAAACAAGAATAAGAATTGATGAGAGTTGGCAGTCACACATTGGTAGAACTTACAGGGGGCATTTCAAGCTCTAGATTAACAAAATAAAGGTTTGATGAATTCCAACTATGTTTTTACATAGAATACATGAGAGTGATTGGAAAACATTAAGAACAGCTAACCAAGATCGTGTGACTGCCAACGCTCATACACTTTCATCTTTGTTTCATCTGGGGTTTAGTTTGAGAACCATATTATCACAGATGAAGTATATACCAGGGGCCGGTTGTACGAATGGTGGATAAGTCCTATCCAATGGATAAATCTCCTATCCAATGGATAAATCTCCTATCCAATGGATAGCTATCTGCCGAATAAAAATGCGTTGTACGAAGCACAGATAGCAGGGTGGATAGCCATCCGTCGGATAACCTTAATTTTAACCGAAGAAAACCGGATTTTCCTGAAATTTCTTATCTCTACGCCAGCTGTTGCTAGGTATATGTAAACTTTTGTTGTAGTATCTTCGTATAACTTGTGAATTCCACTAACCTTTGAACTATCAACTTGCAATAAAGGTTTTTTGTTCATGTTCATATTTTGGATTTTTCCTCGTCTAATCGTTGCCAAACTTCGTTTTCCCACAGTGAAGAGTTTGCTATCTACTTATCGATATTTCTTTAAAAGATTTTTGGCTTCTTTATGCGAAGGCAATAGCAAAGACTGCAAGTTTTGTTTTCTTGTTTCAGTACGTTGATTCAGTTTTATTTTATATACTGTCCGAATATTTGTTCTTTGACCTTTCACGTCATTCAAAACAATTTTAAGAACATTTTCTCGCAAGATTTGATTGCTGATCAAGGCCAGCGAACAAAATTTTTTGACTTTTGGTGCCTTGTTGTCTATTTATATGCAGCTATATTTGTTTGGCGTTGAAGGGAATTCATTTAATGAAAGTTTTGTTGCTTGTTTTCGAGCTATATAACAGGAAAAAAAGAAGGGAAAAGGCCAGAAAACGTAACGCCTAAGCACTGACACAGGTCTGCATAAAATATGGCAAAGTCATGGCATTATTTAATGGGCAAGTGACTCAAAGTGAGCTCGGTACGTCAAGAGCAAGAGAAGTCATAAGTAAGTTTCCATGTTTATTTAGTGTCAAAAAAGTGACTCTAAACGGTATTTGTCCATTTCTATCACAATAGCAATCCTTTTTAAATGAAATACACATTGTTTTGTCTTCAAACTTCTAGTTTATCTGCCGGATAGTGGATTTAAACTACCTTTGGACCTCGGATAAATTTATCCAACGGATAGTGCATTTTATCTGTTGGATAGCGCTATCCAAGTTTCGTACAACACGATTTTCACTCTGGATAAAATTTATCCGCTGGATAGGGACTTATCCACCAGATAGCGATTTGTCCACCTTTCGTACAACCCGCCCCAGATGTTTAACTTAATAGGACTTCGTGTCCTCAAATTTCCCTAGATGTACACGTCATGCTCACGCCATGACACTTGCTAGGAAGATGGCGTCCTGGAAAACATGAACTTTTGCATTTTATTGCAGCTTTTTTGGATCGAAATTTATGGATTAAACAATCAAGAGCATCATTTGTTCAATGTTCAAAGTTGTTAAAAGCAATTAAAGTTGTGGGAAAGGTGTTGAAAGCATTTTGAAAGCAATGACGTATTACCAAATGACGAATTGTCACGCGAGCGACACTTGCTAGGAAGATGGCGACCGTGGGACAACTTTTTTACTGAAGTTACACATCTGTTCTTACTTAATCTATGATATTATTTAATATCTGAAATAACCCCATGAAAACAAAAGTATTTACTTGTTTTGTAGAAAAATCGGGAACTCTTTGAATTGGTCACTATTTTACGAGATGACCTTGCTGAATGTGAACACCATATCAAAGAGTTGGAGTCAACATTAGCCAGTAAAAAAGATGATCTAGCTGTAAAAGTTAACCAGCTGACGAAACAGAACATGAAACTTGGGCGATCAATGCAAGCCAAGCAGGTTTTCTCAGAAAAAATACTGAAGGAGAACAAGAGGCTGAATGAACTTGTCAATCAGCAAAAAGAATTGCTAGTTGATGGACAAGCCATTGAGGATAAAATGAATGTGAGTTGTATTGAATAAAACTATAATAGGGGCTTGATTGGTGTAGTTTAATTAAATCAGGGCCATTTACCAGTGATGGGAATATACAAGATGTCCATTTCCCTCATTTTAAAACAGCAAAGTCCTGGGTTATTCTTAGGAAAGAATTTTTTGCATTGCACCCTAATGCACCTTACTTTATTATTTTAACCTGTCTAATGTCAGACGATTTTTTCCAACATGGTGAGAGCGCTAGTATGCAATAGGTTAAATGATTCATTCTTTGGAAATATGATTTCTATTTTCTATAGTTGCCATGATCAACCAATCACAAAGTATTTAGTCTAACTGAAAGGTTTGCTGCCAAACTAAGTATAAGCATAGACAATCCAGAAGACAGGGACTGGAAACGCCTAATGTTTTGCGCGTGCCATCCGTGATGTGCTTGCGTGACGCTTGTGCCAATCATGCCATGCCATGTGAGTGAATTACTGAATGGCGCCTGTTGCTTCGAAAAAAAAATAAAGAGATAGATTGTGGACCGGTACTTCTCTGCTGTTTTACAGCTCTTTATATACTGGAAAATTGTTTAAATAATCTACACCGAAAAGGGAGTTAGGTATATCACATTGTGTGTAAAGTTTATAAAACGGATCTGCTAATATTCAGAGACGAGTGCAGAGAATTTTCGAGCTTGTTCAAAATTTTGATTTCCAATTTGGGATGGACTTTCAGGCACGATTCAGGT